ATTAATTGAAATTATTAAAATTAATTGTTCAATTAATTGATAAGTGTAAAAAGACAATAAATTAAACTATTAGAATTTTGATAAATGAAGGATATATGATGTCATTTTTGTAAATTAATAAATATATTTAAAAAAACAAGAGCTTATTTTGAAACGCTATTTTGGATATCATTTCCAAATAAGTTATTATTTTTTAAAAAAAATTGAAATTTATGCCCATCACAAATATGTCAATTATCAATGTCACCCTTGAGTTATCAGTGGTGCAAATTTTGCCCCTCAATTTTCAAAATGTGACATATATTGTCCATTCCCTGAATTATTAGTGATATAAATGTGGTTACCCGTCATTTTCCCTATTCGAAGACCGCGTTTTTTTCCTTCATTTTTCTTTCTTCGTTTGTTCTCCTTCCGTCGATAACAATGTTTCTCCCTCTTCCTATTAAGGGATGAACAATATATGTCACGTTTTAAAAATTGAGGTACAACATTTACACTACTAATAATTAAGAAGTGATATTGATAATTAGCATATTTGTGAGGGGCATAAATTATAATTTTTTCTTATTTAAACTCCCTATATTTTACCAATAGTTTATTTATAGTTTGAAATAAGTTATAAGCTCAATCAAATAGAGTTTTAATAATTAATTAATAATTATATATAATTTAAAGGTACCAGGACTATGTGGTCTAATGGTATCCGAGTTGGACTTCCAATTGGAAGATTATGAGTTCAAGCCTCAGTGGAGGCGTTATTGGTTCTTCGTGTTTCAGTAGGTTGAGAAAGTATATGAACAGATACTACAATGTAATAGAACTAGTAGCTTTCAAAATATATATATATATATATATATATATAATTTAAAGTTAATTTTTAATTAACTCCTTATTTATTTAAATTTGTTCTCCGAAGAAGTGACCAAATGATTAAGTAAAATATAATTTTTGTATATAGATATTCATGAGTTCGATATTTCAATTCTCTTCATGTTTTTAGACTTTCTTAGTAAATGAAGAATTATATACAATTATCTCTAAATTTTTCTAATCTTTTACCCTTTACTTCTTAATATAATTTATTACTCCGTATTAATTCTTAATTTCTTTCCCTTTAAGCAATAAATAACATGACAACATGTGGAGAGAATATTATTCACAAAAAGGATTTTTTACATTTTCTTTAAGAGCATCAATTACATATTTTGAAAATAGAGTGAAGTCGTGAAGAGAGCCTAGCTTGCACACTCAACTGCCAAAAAAAATGTAGAATGAGATTCCAAAAATGTGTCAGCATTAGTGTTGATATTGCGGAAGAAAAGAAAAGAAAAAAATTCAGCAATTTTTTTTAACCACACATTGTGGTCCAAATCTTTCTTTGTCCGTTTAATAATTCAGGTCCACTGAGCTCATTTGCCACTTGAGCTATCTTGTTGGGTTAAAAAATTCACCAATTAATGTTTACTATAGGACGAAAATAGTAAAATAGTTAGCCTATCAGTTAATTTTGGCTTGTTTGATCATTATTAGTTGTTTGATTTGGTTAAACAACTAATAAGAATGTTTGATTAATTTGTTTTTTATAACATCTTATTGTTCCAAAATACTACGAAGTAAAATTTTAAAAGCGGCTTTTCCGATCAGCATTTTGAGAAAGTTATTTTGTATATAATCAGCCATCAGCTAATTTACCAAGCATCTTTTTACAATCAGCTAATGTTATCAACTAGTCAAACCCACTAACCTAATCAGCTAATTTACCAAACTCTCTCTACAATCAGCTAATGCTATCAGCTAGTCAAACCTACTAACCCAATCAGCTAATTTACCAAACATCGTTCTACAATCAGCTAATGCTATCAACTAGTCAAACCCACTAAACCCGATCAGCTAACATCTACTCCCTCTGTTCCATTTTATGTGTTGGGTTCGGTCAACCAGGCTTGACTGAAGTTATTTACAATTTAATTTTTTATAATATTAATTTTAGAATTAGTAGGTAAAATTTATATATTTAGAAACTATATCAAAAGTACTATTAGACACAAAAAAAATCAAATTTAAAAATTATAAGAAAATGTTAAGGGCATCCTCAATAGTGTAAGATTTTGAGGAGATTTTACAGGTGTGATTAGAAAAGAGAAAATGGGAAGGGAGGAAAAAAAAAACTAAAATTTCAAAATAAAAACAAAAATATATATATTTACGCGCCCAAGCGGGCGCGTGCACTGCACGCGCCAGCCTGGGCATGAGAGTTGCGCCTCACGCATCGTGAGGCGCAACTCTCCACTTTGTTGGGGAACCCACCCCACTACCAAAGTCCCTTTTTTTTGTAGGAAGAAAATTTTCACAAAATCTTGCTTTTCCATTTGTCCTTATTTAATTCAAAGGAATTTTACTGTTCCAAAATGTGATGCCCTAATAGAAATAAACAAAGAAAAAAGAGTTGATTTGATCAATGAATAATGAGTAAGATAAAATGGGACATAGGAAGTATTTACCAAACACCCCATAGTATTGTTTTTCTAGATACTTGTTGTGGATGATAGTATGTAAAACATTATAACAAGAACATGTGTTGATTGTACCTTGTAGGTATAGAAAGAGGCATTTTAGTTGTTATATAATTATTCCTTTTAACCGCTGAATTAAAGGGTTCAACCCGCCAACAGTTCGAAGTTTTGTGTTAGGATCAGCTCAACCAAAAAATTAAAAAATAAATCCATTAGTTAGAATCGATAAGTTTGATAAAATTAATTTGAAACCAAACGGACTAACCTAATTGACATCCCTATATGTAACTCACCATCAAATTTGTAGAAAAAATAACCTTCCTCAGCTCGGGGCACAACGGTGGTGGAAGGTTGAATAAAAGGATGATGGCCATACTTTCTAACCGGCCTCTCCACATCTATACCTTCAACATTACATAATAGGGAAAATATGACACTGGATATTATTTCTTTCTCAGTACGATTATACCACCATAAAATACACCAATCGTTATACCGTGCACTACAGCGTACATAACAATATGCGCCTCGTCCTCCTAAAATGACGTTGTTTTGTTAAGTTGGGAGTTGACGCGACAAAGTGTATATGTATTATGTTATATACTTATATAATTATGTACATTCTGTTATACAATTATGTATATTCTTTTATACAATTATGTACATTCTTGAGTTAATACCCATTTTGGTCCTCTGACTATTACGTAATACTTGATTTAGTCCCAAACTATTAAAAGTACACAATTTAGTCCTCTAACTTTTAAAGCAGTTCCCAATTTAGTCTTCCGTTACAATTGCCATCAATTTACAGTTATTTTGTGGGACAAAAACGTCCTTTCATATTCGTCCTGAATATTCTTCACCTTCACCCTCTTTAATTACCAGCCTGGGACTTCTTGTCATCAGATAAACCCATTGGAGCTGAAGTACCATCCATCTTCTCTTGCTTGACAACCTCCTCGCGCTGGTCTTTTGTGAGGTTCAGTCCTTGCTTTATCATCCATGGAGGCAAAACTTTAATTTCATGGGCGAAGATGAACTAACCCTCAGATTAAGTATTGTCTCCTTTTTATTCATGACCAGAGAAAGCAACTTCAACCTTGGTCTCTTTCCTCCCCTTCTTTGCAAGTATGCTGGCCATCAACAGCAACAGCATGCAGCATTATATACTTTTGCACCTTTTGATGACTCTTTCCTATTATCCGGCGTGATAAGTTTTTCTTCTTCAAAAAATCCGATCCTAGTGTTCTTCCAAGTTGTTTTGTACGCCCGCAGCTTCAACTCTTTTTCCCTCACCCATGCGCACCTTGTGAGGGCATCTAGAATCACAACAGCAATTCCTCGATTATCGCTTCCAAGAATTGGGCTGATCATCTTTCGTCGCAAAATCGTCATAGAATGCTCTCGCCGTAAGTTTAACCAATCGGCTCGATGCTCATGGCGGGTGGCTCATGTTTACTGAGTTTCTACGATTCGACTGGCGGGGATATCAGCGAGACGCGTGCGGAAGATGGGACCACTACTAGCCGGAGGGATGCCTTAGAAATTTTGGGGATTTTTAATGCCACTAACGGGCTATGTCCTCAAAATGACTTCTTTGCACTCAAAATAATCGTGGATAGATGACAATTATAACAGATGACTTAATTGGGCAATCATTATTGCATAGACCATGGTCATATAATTGTGTGGACCATAAATAAAAAGTACATTTTTAATATACTAAAAGTACATTATTTTATATATACTATCAAATAATGTACTTTTTTTTTATTATTATTATTATAAAAAAGGGGACTTTCAAATAATGTACCTTTTTTTTTATTATTATAAAAATGGAGATATCCTATATACACACTACTTATCCTAAGTGAGGTTCAAACATTTCACCTCACATTTAGGGGAACAACCGGGTACCAGTGAACCATAAGCCACTTGGTTCAAATAATGTACCTTCAGTACACAAATAATATACCTTTAATATATTAAAAATGTACCCTATATTCATGTTCCACACAAGTTGTGTGGACCATGGTCCATACAATAATTAGCCCTAATTGGGTGGATACTTTTAATAGTCTGGGATTAAATCAAGTATTAAGTAATACTCTGAGGACTAAAATGGGTATTAACTCTATATTCTTTTACACAATTATGAACATTCGAAACATGAGATTTTTTTAAGAGTTCAAAATTTATGTTTATTATGTTAAGAATTTATGTGTATTATCTTTTCAAAAAAGAGTATGTGTATTTTATTATACAATTATGTATATTCTATTATTATACAATTATGTACATTCGAAACATGAGATTTTTTTTAAGAAGTTAACAGCAAACACAAAAATAAAATTTCCAAAAAAAAAAGTATAAAACGACGTCGTTTTACTTTTGCACCAGAACACACAATGCAATGTATGCCCTGGTGTACAATATAAATTGCCAAAATACAATGTTCACCCTAGTGCACGATATAAATTGCCAAAATACACCACCATCAAATGTTCATTTACAATTTATATTTCAAAGTAACCAATTACAGTACTTGCAACAAAATCATCTTATTGAGACTGAACGGATTCTAGAAAGGTTTGAAACCCTCCCCGAGTGATAGGACCTTGGCCTCAACATCTTTGCCACTAAAAATGACCCCAACGCTAAAACTATAGGTAGGGTGAAATATTAAAATAAAAAAAAAATAAAAAAAGGCTGAAAATATTGGGCATATTCACTATAGGAGAAAAGACTAGTGAGCAACCTTAATTCTGATCGAGCAGTTTCTTCAATTATGATATTGATGAAGACATGGAATCATCAGCCTACTCCGACAGATCAACACCAGTTGACTAAAAACACCAAAAAGTTAAAAACTAAATTACAATATTCAAGTTTTTTTTTTTTTTTTTGTTACTTATCAATTTCATAGATGATCGATTGGATGGATCATATTCGGGGCATCCCAGGAAAGCATAGAATCATCATCATCACCCTCGTCAAAAACAAATGTTGCAGCTGGCACTAGGCGGAGGAGCAAAGCCTTTCAAGAGCAGCATTTTCATCCCAGCCAACAAGTTCCAGTGTACTCCTCACCTGCGCTTCAGGGAAACCCATCTCCACAAGTTTCTGTACCTGTCAAAATCAACCAACCACTTCAACTCTGTTTCCTCCAATTGTTATACAATTATTTCCACTTCAGAATCATCATACACTTATTTTCTCCCCAAAAGCATCAGGTGTTCAAGCTGGTATAGTTCTGAATTCGAAATATGACACATTTCAGCTGGTTTCTACCAAATATATTTGGTCAAAAGGACTAAATATGCCCCCGGAAGATGCCATTCACTAAATATGGAAAAAATAATACTTGCCACCCAAATGAATTGAAGCATGTATTTCATCTCAATTAAAAATCTAAACTGATAGTTGGATTGCACATTTATATTTATATCTGGTTAGTTGAGTACATAGCTGGAGAAATATAGAAGAGGAATATATGCTCAACACACCCCCTCACGTGTGCGAGCGGGTTATTTTGGATGGGTTCCAAGCAACACGTGGACCAAACCCATTACCTTCGACATGGGGTTGGCTCCGATTCTAAATTGGGGCATATGCTCCATCTCAACTAAAAGACTAAACTGATAGTTGGATTGCGAATTTATATTTATTTATATATTATATATGCTCAACGAAATGTGGAAGTGATGTAGTAGTTATGGGAAAAATAAAAAAATTCATATGTATAAAATCCCAGTGATGTAGTAGTATGGGAAAAATAAAAAAATTCATATGGATAAAATCCCAGTGGTCTTTCTGAGAAGTGTACAAAAATTATATACTCAATATATAACGATAACGATAAGGGTATATAAAAACATCAGGCAAGAATGGTGAATAATCACCCCACACTTACCTTTTCATCAACACCGAGAGATGGTTTGGCAAAAGCTTCTGTCCAGTACCGAGCTGTGCCAAGAAAGGTCTGGTACTCTCTGAGATACTGCACATGCACAAGACCAAGGATCAGCAGCTAACAAAGGAGATATTTTGTAGATGATAACTGCAATATCAATAAAATATAATTCTACTTTCTAGAAAGTAACCAACTATAATAAAAATCAGCCTCTATATAATGAAATAAACAAGGTATACAACTGGCTCTATTAGTCACCTGTTGTGCTACCACTGCATCTTGTGGATCATCTGGTTCAGGAGCAGAGAGCAGTGCTTGTATAGAAAGGAGAGCTGTCTTCAGAGTAAGTGCTGGGCTCCACTGGTCTTTCAGGATATCGAGGCATATCGCACCACTTTGACTGCTTATATTAGGGTGCCTTCAAATGGCAATCAATGCATAATTGCACAGAAACATTCATAGAATAAATTACTTCTGAAAAGTCACTTGTGGAGAACATCTTCACTATCATATGTTAAGATGAAATAAAAAATAATAATTTGCCATGAACCCGAATAACTTAATAGCAAGCAACTATATTTTATTCAGTAATACATGAATAACCAAGAAGAAAATACGTTTGAGTTAGAAACAGAGATGCTGTCAAATACATTTGACGTCTGTTGCTTGTCAGTCCCTGTTTTCCATACCAAAAACAAAGCGCGCACGGCAAAGTTGACTATTTTATGTCAATAGATTATTAACACCAAAAGTGTTTCTTGACTTGAGGTCCATAAAGGTAGAGCAGAGACACATTAAGACAGGAGATTATAAATATGACAAGGGAAAGAAATTAGACATGACTGTACAGGCAGCTCCCATCGGCTCAACAGATGAAGTCCAGACCCCCTTAAACCTTTTTGATCAAACCTTTAGAGTTCAATCAAAAAGAAAATTGCAGAAACAATGAGTCCTGTTTGAACAGAGAGCGGCAAGACCTCAACTCGCAGGCCACAAAATCAAATTTACTCTCTTCATGTTTCCAACATGGAAACAAACTGATAACATGAAAATATGAAACAGTAGAGTTGTCATTGCGACAATACAGAGGAACCACAAAATCAACACTTAATTTTTTAAAGTAGAATAATTTAGTAAACACCAAAAGAAAAAAGTACAATAAGAGGACATGCAGCCAAGCCTTCCCATGACTGGGTGAGGTGTGGAGAAACCAAAACCTTACTTTGAGGAATACTAAAATCATGAACAGATGCCCAAATTAGATGAAGATTGGAGAATTAAGGGACACAAATGTTATAATCATTTTTTCCATTTGAGACTATGGCAATCAAATGACTAAAGTGCATATAGTAGTCCTTCAAAAGCTTAATTGCCAACCTCCATAAATTGAGGCCAAAATATCAAATACTATTAAGCTAATAGGACCAAATAGTAGAATTAGAACTTCAGCTGATAGGCCGAGAAAGGTAATACATGGTTTTAGAATTAACACAGGTTTTAGACTCACAACAGAAGCTTATATCATAATATCATATATCAAGACTAAAGCAATGCCCAATTGTCAAGATGAATCAGTATGACCATAAGAACAAAGCAGCAGGAACTACCAATTAAAATCTCAGGCAAGAAATGCATATTGTCATTTCTCAGGGCCAAGATGTCACTTCTAATTCAGAACAGCGTCAAGGAAATTATAAATTTCTTTACTCCAGCTGGAAGCTTTACATTGGATTCATTCATTATTCCTTAGGCATCGCCTCTAACCAGTGTAAGAATAGTAAAAGTACACAAATCAATATAGCAATAGCATTGTTCAAGTATCATGAGTGCTTGTAGAGCATGGTATATGTACAAACTACTTCAGTGTAAATACACTATACACACACCATTTATAAACAGAACTAATTGTATTTTGACTTTTTTGCTGATAGGCTCAAACAAACAGATCCTTCTAGCAGAACTGACTATTTTAGTGCTATTGAGAAACAACCTATTTGAATGTTTCATTAAATTCCATGAGCATCACTAATAAATAAAGATGCCTCATTAAATTGTCATGAAGGCTAGCTAAAGCTATCACAAAGTCATCATCTTGGCAACATTAGATGCCAAATATAACTCAGCTCAGGAAAAGGAATAGAGAGTTGAATTTTTAGCTCATCTCTAAGATCAAATTGAACGTTTTTCCTAAGTTCAAGATTCAGAGATCACGAGTATCCAACATAATTTGATATGATGTGATTTTGCAACAAAATAGGAAGGTGCAAATTAAATGACAATAAAGCAAAAGAAATTTCATCATACCAAACTTTTGTGGCAAATTTCATTTTTGGTGGCTCAAATGGGTATCCATCTGTAAACAAAATTTAAAAGAAAATTAGAAATAGACAACAGAACACTCAAGCACATTTACTTTTTGAAAACACCCATTTAATTTCCATCCATATTTTAAAAAGTTCTACATTTTCAGGCATCCATAAATCCAAGTTACATAACCCTCTAAGTCAAATCCTCTAGGAGAAATTAGAAAAACATCAAGAAGCACTGCCATCACTAAAGATAAATGTAGACGAATCCTTATCAGCAAAGCTTCACAATTAACTGGTACTTTTATTATTATTTTTTTAATTCCAAGATTTAGTTGTTTCATGGAATAACAAAGGCAAAAAAAAACACACATGATCGGGCAGTCAGAAGTGGAGGAACAAGCCCACATGAGGGTAATTTAACATATAAGTCGGATAATTACAAATAAACAAAATTATCATCATGCACTCAATCACGTGCCCAACTGAATAGTTTTCACTACTAGACATGGAAACACATAATTATATGAACATATAAGTTCAGAATCATAAACCCTAGAACAAGAAGTCAAACTTCAATCACGAAGAAAACAGTGTCGTCTTCCGATTGTATAATTTCTATCAGAGAAAAAAAAAAACAGAATGGATACAGAAAGGTTAAGATACCAGGGAGAGTTATGTCGATCTTGAAAGTGCCGCCTTCGTAGGGTGTACCGATAGGGCCAGGGATGGTGCCGCTCAAATGGGTCAAACTGTCGCCTCTCGGGCTGACCTTTATTCCCGAAACCTGCACGTCTCTGTTGCACTCTTGCAGCTCCTTCTGCACCCGACCCAAGTCCACCATTTTTCCGTCCTTCCTTCTGGTTTCTCCTCAATTCGATTCTACTATACCCTAACCCTCCGCACAGGAGTACTGCTCCGCCTCTCTCGCGCTCTCTCGAGTGTCCCTATCGCCCTCCGCTGGGTTTGCCTTTACCTTTGGAAAGAGAGATAGAGAGAATCGTGAGCTGCACCGCACCGCAGAGAATTAAAAAAACAAAACAAAATGAATTAAAGGACTTTCTACTCCATTAGGAAACTGGAAGGCCCATTTCAGCCAGGCTATAGGTAGTCTTTAGATTACGAATCTAATTCTGAATCATGTAATGTATGATAATTAATGAAAGCTGAAGCGTGTTACGCCAAATGTCACATACTCAATTTTTATTTATTTTACATATAAAATATATACTGAGTAATATATTTTAATCTATAGTGATATATTACGACTAGATTTGTCGGAATCACTTGAGTTAGAGCATCCTTATCAGTTGGGGTTATTAGGGGGAGAATGTAAGAGTGAGTAGGAAAGAGAATAATGTGGGAGGGGAGGGAAAAAAAAAATCAAAACTGATTTTATAAAAAAATATATATAAAAAATAAGCATGTCATTTCTCTATTGGTTCTTTATCCTTCATTATTAATTATTTTTCTTGGGCAGAGTAATATCCCAACATTTGCAGATGCTCCCCACCCCTTCTCTCTCTTGATTCTCTCTCTGCCACCATGGCATTTTGACCTCAAAAGTAGTGAATTCTCCCTTATTTCTCCTCTGATGTAGATGCTGAGTGATGTATGCGATTTTAAATCAATATAAACATACTGTTGTAATTAATATTTTATTATAATAAATAACGATAGCACATGATAGTATTTGGTTTAAGAGTAAAGACAAAGTCGTTGATAAATTCATTCTCTATAAAGGCATCTTCAATGGAGGAAAAAGAAAGGGAGAAATAGAAAAAAAATGATTGGAATAGAGAGGAGATACATCCTCCGGAGGGACTATTCTCTCCAGAGCATATGTGCTAGAGTGCGTAGCGTGTGGAGAAGGCGCGTGTTGTCACACGCCTTTTTCAGTCGTAAAGTTGTTCCCCACCCTCTGCTATATTAATTTAAAAGAAAAGGAACAACAACCGCTGCTCCTGTTGATTTTTAAATTTTGACCTCAACGATCATTTGACCGTTGAGGTCAACAATTTATTTTAATTTTTAAATTTATTTTTTTTAATTCAAAAATATTTTATTTCATTATTTAAATTTATTTTATTAAAATTAAAAATTGAAATTATAATTATAAAATTAAATTTATTAATGGTATAAAGTAAATAAAATAATAAATGATACGTAGAAGTGTGAAGAAGTAGGACACAACAAAATGAAAAGAAAAGAGGGAAGGATTAAAGAAAAAATATGAGGAAAAATTATATGGTGATGTGGAAGAGTTGGGTCCACAAATTGGGGAGATAAGGAGAGAACCACTGTGGATACTCTAAGAATAAAATGGAAAACAAACTTAATTGAAAAATTAAAGCAGTGTTAGAAGTGCTTGATGTGATGAGTATCAAATACTAATTTGTGATTATTGCACACAAAATGGTATTATACGTGAGCGTATGGCACCATATTTACCCCAATCAAATGGTTGTTGAACATAAAAGTTGCACATTGAAAGAGATGATGAATGCGATATTTATAAGTACAAGTTTGCTCCAAAAACATGTGGGATTAGGTTATTTTGTCAACTAATTACCTTTTAAATAAGGTAACCTCTACGAAACTTGATAAGACCCATTACAAATTGTAAAAATGTAGGAGACTTTCTGAACAATAATTGAAAGTGTGGGTGTCTTTCAAAAATAGTGGTGCCAACAAAGAAGAAAACAAAAATAAATTCTACAACGGTGGACTATATTTTTATTTGCTATGCACATAACAATAGTGGTTATTGGTTCTTAGTGTACAATTCCCATAATGCAGATAAATATAAGAAAACGATAATTGAATCAAGAAATGCATCATTCTTTGAAGATGTATTTCGATATAGGTCCAATGAGATACCTAGTATGTCGAAACAAGCATTTGACGAGGCTATGGATAATGAGAGTGGAGGGTTTGAAAATGACCTCGAACTCGAGTCTAGACGCATCAAATGAGTTAGGATTGAGAAATCATTTGGTCTATATTTTTTAAGATGAGTTAATTCCACCAATGGTCCTACGACTATTGCGATTTTCAAAAATTGGTCCTCGTCTTTTAATTTGGACGAAATAGACCATTGACTATCAGATTTGTTCCAGCATTGGTCCTTCCATTAAGCATCAGTTTGTTAGGCATTAAGTATAGGGGTACAAGGGTCATTTTCTCTTATTGCTTTCTTCTTCCTGATGTTGGTGGCACTTTCACCCTCTGCAACTTCAAGAACACATCTTTCTGTGACACTGAAGTGTATAGTAGTATTTCTGATGCACCCACTGCTCCAATTTCCATTGCCCCATTCCATTTCATCCTTGGGTCTATAGCCCTTCAAACAACTACAACTTTTTGAAGTCAAAGGATCACAGATTCCAAACGCCCCACACTTACCATACATATCACATTGACTGCTTGCAACACTATCCCATGTCACCACCTATTGGCTCTTCTCTTGAAGTCTTGATCCCAATACTTCTCTATGTAAGAACCAGTAGAGGTCATGACATAGTGCAATTCAGTGGACTCCTTCATGTTCTTAAAGGTGTCATAGGTGATGTCCCATTCATCATCATTAATGATTTGACTTCTATAGTCATACACAAAATTCATGTTCAGCACTGATGAAGTGATGCGAGCTGAATATGGTGAAGTGGTGCATCATGCTATGTGGACACAAGCTGCAACAACACAAGCTTTCCAGAGGAGGGCTTTTTAGTCTTTTCCCCTTCCTTAGTTAGTTATAACCGTTTTTGGCTCCCTTTTATAGTGCTTGCTTGTCTTCTTCTTCTTATGTAATAACACACACAGAACTCTCCATTCTTCCAGTTCCTATCTCAATCGATGCTTCTTCTTTTCTTCTTCTCCCTGTTGTTCGTATGATCCAAGGTAGTTCATCATGGTATCAGAGCTCCGCAGAAGCTACGCCAGAGCTGTAATAGTTGGAGCAGACGGCAATGGAAATGGATCGGAACACGCAGGAGCAGGAGTCTCCTCAGCTTCAACCAATCATACACAGCGAAATGATGATTTTGATGATCCGCTGTACTTACACATTACAGAAAATCTGAATCTATGCCTTGTTTCGCCTCCATTAACCGAGCTCAACTACTCATCTTGGAGTAGATCAATGAGGATCGCCCTGGAGGTTAAGAACAAGTTTGAATTTGCGACTGGGAGCATTCCGAGTCCGGCTGAGAATGATCCGAAAATCGGATCGTGGAAGAGATGCAACCGCATCATAAGTTCATGGATTTTGAGGTCCATCAGTCCTAACATAGCAGAGAGTGTAATGTACTTCGATAAAGCCTCGGATATATTGAGTGCATTACAGAAGCGATATTCACAATCTGATTCACACAAGATCTCTGAAGTTCAGAATCAAATCTTCAGAAGTGTTCAAGGTAGTATGACAGTGAATGAATATTTTACCAAGAGCAATACTCTTTGGCAGCAGATGAATGTTCTAAGGCCCCTATTGATGTGTGAATGTATGCCTAAGTGCTCCTGTACTCTAATGAGTAGAATGCAGAAGCAAAGAGAAGAGGATTATGTGATCCGATTCCTAGAAGGTCTGAATGAGGATTATGAAACCATTAAGTCTGGAGTGTTGGTTATGGATCCAATTCCAGAAATGGAGAAGGTTCTCAACATGACCTTGAAAGTTGAAAGGAAGATCAAAGGCTCTATTAATCAGAAGTGCAATGACTTAATCCAATCTAATGCAGTTTATAATGATCAGACTCAAACTGCAGAGGAACATTCACTATTAGCAGTGGCAACATCCAATAACAGAAAGAAATTCACAGGCAATGGAGGGAAGAATGTTCCAAAATGTACCTTCTGTGGCATGCTTGGGCATACAATTGAGAAATGCTATAAAAAGCATGGTTATCCCCCAGGGTGGGTTGCAGGTTATAAGTCCAAGAATAAACAAGTTCAGGACATACAACACTCTTCAAATGCAGCTGTAAACCAAGCAGGTGATATAGGGATTTCTGCTGATCAATTTCAAAAGTTTTTCCTTCTTTTGCAGAATCAAAATAAAGGAAATCAATCTTCTAGCAATGCTGTTGTGACTATTGCTGGTTCAGGAGTCAAACCTAGCTTTAAAGACTCAATGGAGGCTCCCAGTGAAGGTAGAACTACTCTTAATCCCTCTCTTAATGTTGTAGTGAATACATATGATTATTGGATAGTGGACTCAGGTGCCACAGACCATATTACCTGCTCAATAGATTACTTTGATGCATGTGAGAGGGTTCAGGGAATATCTGTTAAACTACCTAATGGAGAGATTGTGAGTGTTACTCACATGGGACAGATAAGGCTTAATCAGAATATCCTGTTGACAAATGTGTTACACATTCCATCTTTTACCTTCAATATTATCTCTGCAAGTAAATTGACCAAACAGTCAGGCTGTAGATTGGTTCTAGAAGCTGATTCTTGTGCTATTCAGGCTCATCATCTTGGAACAATGGATGGTTTTGCTAGGCAAAGAGATGGATTATACTTGGTCAGTGATCCTCCTGTTAAGAAGAAAACTCATTCCCCTACTCTGAATGAGTTTCAGTGTAATTCCTTGTCTTTAGAAGTATGGCATAATAGATTGGGCCATTATCCTATCAATAAGATTTCTGTTTTGAATGGAATAAAACATACTTCTCAGAAATGTGACAATTTAATCTGTGATGCCTGTCATTTTGCTAAGCACAGAAGATCTCCTTTTCCAACTAGCATGTCCAGGTCTGAGCACTGTTTTGACCTAATCCACATGGATGTCTGGGGTCCTTTTGCTGTGGCATCTCTCAAAGGAGAACACCATTTTTTAACCATTGTGGATGACCATAGCAGGTTTACTTGGTTGCATATGATGACAAGTAAATCAGAAGTCAGGATTATATTTCAAGACTTTTACAATTATGTTTGTACTCATTTTTCAGCCAAAATTAAAACCATAAGGACTGATAATGGTACTGAGTTCTCAATGAGAACTTTTCTTAATGAAAAAGGCATAATTCATCAAAGATCCTGTGTGTATACTCCACAACAGAATGGAGTGGCAGAAAGGAAACACCAACACATATTGAATGTAGCTAGATCCTTGAGGTTTCAATCAGCCTTACCTATGAATTTTTGGGGTCACTGTGTGCTACATGCATCCTATCTCATTAACAGGTTACCTTCTGATGTTGTTAATGGGAAGACTCCCTTTGAAATCTTACACAACAAGGCTGTGGATTATGGGCAACTCAGGACTTTTGGTTGCCTGTGTTTTGGTGCTACTCCCTCACAGGGCAGAAACAAGATGGAATCAAGGGCAAGAAAGTGTGTCTTCTTGGGATATCCAGCTAATGTGAAGGGGTATATCTTTTATGACCTTGACACTCAAGCTGTTTTTATTTCAAGAGATGTTAAGTTCTATGAGCAAGTGTTTCCTTTTAAAGACCAAAGTCCAACTTTTGTGCCTGAACATACAGCAAATGAAGCCATTAGTCCTTCACTTCCCTTAGTTCCTGTTTCCATTGAGGATGACTTCAACACTGAGTCTGAGAAGTGTCCTAACAGCAACTATGAGCAAGACAATATCATGATCAATCTTGAGATTGACCACATTAATGACATTGCATATGATAATGATGATGAAGCAATGGCTACCTCTGCTGGACCAAATATTGAGCACAACCTCCAGGATTATCAAGATTCTGAATCTGAAACTCTTGATCATACCACCAGTAGTGAGATAATTGCTGATCAGCATCAAACACAGCCTAGAAGGTCATCAAGGCCTAAGAATATCCCTTCCAGATTACATGATTACTACTGTCATAATTCTGTTTTGAGGATCTCTCCTCATCCCATACAGAATTATATTTCCTATTACAAGTTGTCTTATGCTCACAAGTTCTGTGTTTCTTCTATTACATCTGTACATGAGCCACAGTCCTACCATGAAGCAGTACAACATGAGGCATGGAGGAAGGCTATGCAAGCTGAGATAGAGGCCCTAATTCAGAATGACACATGGACTCTTACAAACCTGCCCACTAGGAAATCACCAATTGGTTGCAGGTGGGTTTACAAGGTGAAACACAGATCAGATGGATCAATAGAGAGGCATAAGGCAAGGTTGGTTGCAAAAGGCTACACTCAACAGTTTGGAGTGGATTATATTGACACTTTCTCTCCTATAGCTAGGATGACTACTATCAAGACTTTTCTAGCTTTGGCAGTTATCAAGGTATGGGACATTCAACAACTTGATATCAATAATGCTTTCTTGCATGGTGATCTTGATGAGAAAGTCTATATGGTGTTGCCCACAGGATTTGAGAGTGACACACCTGATCAAGTCTGCAAACTAAAGAGGTCCTTATATGGTTTGAAACAGGCTAGTAGGCAATGGAATGCCAAGCTAACAAAGGCCTACAATCTGATGGTTTTCAACAATCCTCTGCTGATCCCTCTCTTTTTACCAAAGCTGTGGACAACTCATTCATAGCTTTACTTATATATGTGGATGACATTCTGGTGGCAGGAACAGACTCAAAGCAAATACAAGGCCTAAAACAAATGTTGGATGACTCCTTTAAGATTAAGGATCTTGGCCAACTCAATTACTTTCTGGGGATTGAAGCTTTTAGGAGTCCTAATGGTCTTAACCTCTGTCAAAGAAAATACACCTTGGACATTCTGCAAGAAAATGGTTTCCTTGATGCTAAGCCTGCAAAGACATCATGCACTCAGGGCCACAAGCTTACAAGTACTGATGGCATTCTTCTACAAAAACCTGAAGTTTTCAGGAGATTAGTTGGTAAGCTTTTGTATTTGACTAACACAAGGCCTGATATTGTCTATGCTGTCCAGCAACTATCCCAATATGTGGATAAGCCAAGGGACACACACCTAGCAGCAGCTCATAGGGTGCTAAGATACCTCAAAGGCTCCCCAGGCAAAGGACTGTTCTATTCTTCTGCCTCTCAGATCAAGCTTCAAGGTTTTTCAGACTCAGATTGGGCAAATTGCACAGAAACAAGGAAATCTATAACAGGCTACTGCATTTACCTTGGCAACTCTCTTATTTCTTGGAAGACAAAGAAACAAGCCACAGTTTCAAAGTCTTCATCTGAGGCTGAGTACAGGGCATTAGCCTCCACAGTTTGTGAAATACAATGGCTCATATATCTCCTAACAGATCTGAATGTGCAATGCAGTACTCCTGTTGCCTTATTTTGTGACAATAGATCAGCTGTGGCAATAGGGGAGAACCATGTCTTTCATGAAAGGACAAAGCATATAGACATTGACTGCCATATAGTTAAACAGAAAGTCCATCAAGGAGTCATAAAGCTGATGAGCATCCCCTCTCATAAACAGATAGCTGATGGATTTACCAAACCTCTGCCCATTGCTTTTTTTGATACTTTTCATACTAAGCTGGGCCTTCAAGATCTTCATGCTCCAGCTTACGGGGGGGTGATGAAGTGATGCAAGCTGAATATGGTGAAGTGGTGCATCATGCTATGTGGACACAAGCTGCAACAACACAAGCTTTCCAGAGGAGGGCTTTTTAGTCTTTTCCCCTTCCTTAGTTAGTTATAACCATTTTTGGCTCCCTTTTATAGTGCTTGCTTGTCTTCTTCTTCTTATGTAATAACACACACAGAACTCTCCATTCTTCCAGTTCCTATCTCAATCGATGCTTCTTCTTTTCTTCTTCTCCCTGTTGTTCGTATGATCCAAGGCAGTTCATCAGGCACTCCAATGAATATCTGCTTATTCCAAAGACCGCTTCTCCAGTAAATCTTACTATTATTTTGTACCACAATCACCTCTAGAATGTTTTGATGTCGAAGACGAAGAAAAAGTCCCCGGAGATGGATCCCATGGACTTTTCCACGATCTCAACTCCCTCGTTATACCAATACTCGCACCATTGCCAAGTTTCATGTTCTCCAGAAAAGTATCAGTGTTATCACCAAAACTTTCCCATAAATATCTCCCACTTGAGCTATCTTTCAACACCAAGTTTCCAGTATCCAGGAGTTGAGCAGTAGTATTTGCAGTTGCAAGAGAAGAATTCGAAATATTAGATTTAGAACTAGACCATACTACTGTCTTCTCTCCATCCAACACCACAAGATTCCCATCTTCTGAGATTCCCATGCTTCTCCTGGAGTCATCCATACCTTTGTTTGTGTTGGCTACCGATACAAAGGCCATTGATGGAACTCAACATAGCAATAATGTAGGAACCACCCTATATTGTGGGCTAAGAGAGAAGAAAAATCTGTATACTAGTGAAAGAAGAAGGGTAGGCGAGCAAGAAGAAAGCAATGGAGTTTTTACTCTCATCTGCGTATACTGATGGATACATATACTCACCAGCATCAGGAAGAAGAAAGCAATAAGAGGAAACGACCCTTGTACCCCTCTACTTAATGTCTAACAAACTGATGCTTAACGAAAGGACCAATGCTGGAACAAATATGATAGTCAATGGTCTATTTCGTCCAAATTAAAAGACGAGGATCAATTTTGGAAAGTCGCTATAGTCAGAGGACCATTAATGGAATTAACTCTTTTTAACATATTTGTTGGAGTATGAGTAGAATACTCTAATTTATTTATTAGAAAATGAACAAAATTTTCTAACATGTTTGTTAGAAAATGAGTCTCGGACTTACGTAGAAGCCATGACTTCTACTAATGAACCAATGTAGAAAGAAACTACAAAAAGTGAAGTTGATTCTATTTTACATAATTATACTTGAGAACTAGTTGATCTTCCTCTAGATTATAAACCTTTGGGGTCCAAATAAATCTTTAGACAGAAGGTGAAATCGAATGGTTCCATTGAGAAGTATAAGACCAAACTAGTAATTAAAGGATATAGGCAACGTGATGACCATGACTACTTTGATACTTATTTTCTAATGACGAGAATAAACTCCATTAGGATGATACTTGTTATCACAATATTGTGAGACTTGGAAGTTTATTAAATGGATGTGAAAACAACTTTCTTGAACAACGAGTTAGATGCATAAATTTATACAATTTGATGATTTTATCGTTCTAGGCTAAGAGAAGAAAATGTGTAAATTGATAAAATCCTTGTATAACTTAAAACAAGTGTCTAAGCAATGATAGGAGAAACTTGATCATGCAATGATGACCCATGAGTTTAAGATAAATGAGAGCGACAAGTGTGTTTATGTAAATGATAGATAGGCGATTATGTCATTATGTGTTTATATCTGGATAATATAATCATCATTTATAGTAACGACCAAATGATCAAATATACAAAATACATGTTAAATTCAACATTTGTCATGAAGGATACATGTTATGCATATTTAATCATTGTGATTAAAATCATTAGAAAACCAAATAGTCATGTGTTGAACCAAACTTATTATATTGATAAAATTCTTGAAAAATTAACAACGATGATAATCAATTGGCTAGAATGTTCTTAGATAATATCTTACATCTATCCAAAAGTTAGGGAGAGTGCATTTCTCGAGTACAATATGCTAGGATTATTGGAAGTTTATTATATCTAATGAGTTATACTAGGCCGAATATAGCCTTTGCGGCTAGTAAATTTTAGAGTAAAAGACATTTTTGGTCCTAGACTTATAGTGGCTTGGACAATTTTAGTCCTTTATAAAAAAATTTGCCATTTTATGGACAGAGTTATTGTGGCGAGGACATTTTTGGTCCTCCGTCTATATTTCTGTTAGATAACCGTATGAGAGAGGGGCAATTACGTCAATTTAGGCTATATCTTTATTGTGAGATGGGCGATTTTGGTCCCACAACCATGCCTTTACTCTGACCCTCATTTATTTGTAGTTTTGCACTACGAAATGCTCTGCCCACAACCATGCCTTTACTGCAACTTGGACTCTCCGACTCCTTCGAATTATGACCGAGAAGAAAACAAAACACACATAGATATAATAGATAGAAGGAGATAGCCTAAATAGACGTAATTACCCCTCTCTCAGACGGTTATCTAACAAAAATATAGAGGGGGGACCAAAAATGTCCTCGCCACAATAACTCTGTCCATAAAATGGCAATTTTTTTTTATAAAGGACTAAAATAGTCCAAGCCACTATAAGTCTAGGACCAAAAATGTCTTTTACTCTAAATTTTAGTAGATATACTAGTGACCTCAATGATGAGCACTGCAGGGTAATACTGAGGGTGATTAGGGGGTGAAAATTCGGTTAATCAGTCGGTTAACCGAACCGAATTAACCAAAATTTCTAAACATTTAATCGTTAATCGAATCGATTTTTTTTTTTTTAGTTAATTAGTCGATTAATCGAATTTTTTAACTAATTTTTTTTAAACGAAAGCTTAATGCATTATATCAGAAGCAAGAATGTTCACAAGAAACTGAGGAGGAGAGTGTAGCTACTCCGCGCAACCTGACAAAGAAACGACTTCCCTGGCTATAACATGGACAGCACGATTCGCAGATCGCCTAGCAAAATGAAAGACTACATCATGAATTTGAGATGCAGTCTCTTTTACATCATCAATAATTAATCCAAAAGAAGAGTTATAAGAATCTAAAAACATAATATGTGTCAATACAAGTTATGTCCTTGATTTTTGTCCCTTTTTATATGCTAATAAATATATACATTTTGCTTTAATTGTTGTACATTTCATTTGTATTGGACAAAATGACCCTTACACCGTTATAACACCGTTAGTATTTAATATATCCATCAATCTTACCATACACCTACATCTATCATATCTTTTTCCTATTTTTAATTATCATTTTATTAAAATTATCATATATATATTTTAATTAAATATTTATATGAATGTACATTAAATTATATATGTGTATCATATATATATATATATATATATATATATATATATATATATATATATATATATATATATATATATATATATATATATATATATATATATATAGAGGGTAGAGTTCAAGTGAGGATAGGGCTTTAGGTGTGGTCTGTGGATTATTTAGATCCGTAGGATTAGAGAATCGGATGGCTACAAATGCACAATAAGGGAGATTAAAAAAACACTAGATATGGGCGTAACGGTTGCAGTAATTAAATTTAGGGGTAAAGAAGTAATTGGTAAAGTGAGTGTGCATTGACAGGAAAGGAAAGAGCGAAAAACCCATCTGTCTTTGTTTAGGGTTAAAACACTGCTTTGAAGGAGCCTTGTCGGCATTGCACATTCTACTCGGCGAAATCTGGTGCACAAATAAACAGAGGCGTGAACAATAGAGGTCGGAGAACACCATTGTAACCTATGGCAGACGCAACTCCAAGGAAAAGTCAACGGTGTGCATCAATGGAAGCGACTACTAGAATGCGTAAGTAACTGAGACCCAAAGCTTTTTTTTAAACAAAAAATAAAATAAAAATTGATAGCCCTTGCTGCATGTAATATGCGATTAATGAAAACTTGAATTGAATCTTGGTGTGTATGAAGTTTGTTATTTGATATTGTTTATGAAGAGAAAAAAAAAATGGTTTGGGTGAGTGAATTACAGTATAGAGAAGAAGGCGTGAGTGTTGGGAGATTTGGTAGGGCGAAAATCTAATGATGGATATTACAGTGTAGACTGTAATCAGATGAGTGTTTTTTTTTTTTTTTTTTTTTGGAGTGTTGGGGTTTGGTAGGGCGAAAACATGTGGATTGAATGTAGTTTTAAGAACCAACATAAGTAATCTGATGAATGTGCAAAGAAAGAGAGTTCTGGAAAGCCGAGATAAAAGAAGATGGTGGGAACGACGCGGTGGAGTTCAGGAACAGATTTGTGAATAACGACTTCAATGTCTATTCTTTATTATTTTTTTTAGGAGGTTTATACTAGTTTAATAACAGACTCCATCATAGGGGTGGTATTAGTGGTGTGTAAGTGATGGACTGTGAGACTGCATATGCCCAGCATGGGGTAGTTTAGAGAAAGTGTATTCACAGAAAAAAGCACAAGTGCACAAAGTGGGAAAAAGTAAAATGGGGGACCACATACTGCAAGATGGATACAAAAAGTTGTGTTATAGTTAATACACAAGATTAAATACAAATTCATTAGAACAGTTTGGAAAATAATTTTAATTATAACTGACAAGGTTTGTTAATGACCAGGAATGATGAGCTATTCTACTTCAACGGACAACGTGCATTTAGGTTGGACATGATGCCCCTGGACATGGACAAAGAAGTGAATGAGACAGTAATGGACATGCGTTCTAAAATATGCACACAAACATGCTACTAGCTAATGTTTGAGGCTTAATACAAATTCAAATATGCTAGTATTTAAATTTGGTTAACGAGAAATCGATATTCATTATTTAGGAATAGTGCAACCATGGTGGAGGATAGTGTGCAAATACGAAATACCTCTCAGAATCGGTATGTGCAATGATGATGTTTATATTAATGCAATTTTAAGTGTAGTTGACAATGACCAAAGATTGGCTAAATGGTTATTACACCGTTAAGAAGTTGTGCAACGAGGAATTAATAAGTAGTGCAAATGATAACGAATTTGTGCAACATAAGTAATTATGAAAATGCAATTTAAATTTAAAAACCTAAAAACTGTGAAGTAAACTAGGACATGTTTTTTTAAAATTGAGGGTGCAGTAGGATGTGCAATTATAGAGTATTAAATCGTGCAAGACTGTTAAACTATAAAGTATTACATCGTGCAAGACTAATTTTTGGGGTCACTGTGTGCTACATGCATCCTATCTCATTAACAGGTTACCTTCTGATGTTGTTAATGGGAAGACTCCCTTTGAAATCTTACACAACAAGGCTGTGGATTATGGGCAACTCAGGACTTTTGGTTGCCTGTGTTTTGGTGCTACTCCCTCACAGGGCAGAAACAAGATGGAATCAAGGGCAAGAAAGTGTGTCTTCTTGGGATATCCAGCTAATGTGAAGGGGTATATCCTTTATGACCTTGACACTCAAGCTGTTTTTATTTCAAGAGATGTTAAGTTCTATGAGCAAGTGTTTCCTTTTAAAGACTAAAGTCCAACTTTTGTGCCTGAACATACAGCAAATGAAGCCATTAGTCCTTCACTTCCCTTGGTTCCTGTTTCCATTGAGGATGACTTCAACACTGAGTCTGAGAAGTGTCCTAACAGCAACTATGAGCAAGACAATATCATGATCAATCTTGAGATTGACCACATTAATGACATTGCATATGATAATGATGATGAAGCAATGGCTACCTCTGCTGGACCAAATATTGAGCACAACCTGCAGGATTATCAGTGCGCAATAAGAAAAATTAACGAGAAAAAAAGATAAAGAATACTACAAGACGAATTCAAACTCATTATGTTAATACCAAAGCAAACAACAATGGTACTCGCAACGCATGGGAGAAATTCTAAGAAAAATAATAAAAAAAATGAAAGTGCTAAAACCAAATAAGATAATAATTCAGCTGCAAAATCAATCTTAAATTTGCTAGTTGGGATGGGAATTGGGATCCATAGTATCTTTAATTACCTTATTTAAGCGAGCTAAAAACATGCAGATTAGTCAAAAATAAATAAACAAATAAAGAGAAAAAATGCAAAGACTAAATAACCCTTAACATAAAGTGACGGTAATAACCCAAAAATTCATCCCTAAAATAAATAAAAAAACGAGAGCCATAGATCAAACTAAAATCAAGGGTCAATATCCGTCCACAATCCTCATGTGGAAACATGACCTCATTTGATCCTTTGTCTATATATATATATATATATATATATATATATATATATATATATATATATATATATATATATATATTTTCAATAGAAATGCTTGCTCTAGTATTGGAATGATATGGAGAAAAGGGTATTCAATCATCTCTGAGTTAACCCCTACTCCCTATACATTGATGCGTACTCATTTTCTCTCCCGATGGTCTGAGCAGACTTCAAAATCGGACCTGAACCGGTTCAGCAAATGTGGTCCGATTTACTGTTGACCCAGTTCAGCGGATGAGTACAATGAATTAGGAGAAAGGATCAAAAGACGATTTTGCCTCTCAGATTATAGACTAAATGAAATGATTAAGTTTTTTCGGCGAAATTTGATTGACAATTTGATTAGAGTGATTAAAATTGACAAAAATTATGTAGTTAAAGTACTAAATTAACATTTTTAAAAGTCAAAGCACTAAAATTGACAAGACCCATATAGTCCTAAGAACAAAATTGAAATCTTTTCTTCCTAGAAATTAATAACAAAATTACGGATTAAGAAAAAGGAAAAAAAAAAAAAAAAGAGAAGAAAAAAGAGAGGGAGTTCAATTTTACTTCACAGTTCCTGGAAGGCTGGTACTACAGCACTCGGATATCAATGGAAGCCGAGAAAGCTAATGGGAACAGAGAGAAGAAGATGAGCAGAAAAGAGGTAACTTTCACCCACATTCAACTGCTGAAACGTAAAATATCTCTCTCTCTCTCTAACTATCTATCTATCTATGTTTTTCCGACTTAGATGCTGGAAAAGAAGAAACTGGTGGAGGAGATAATCAAAGCTGCTTCTTCTGAGAAAGACCATCTCTCGTGTTTTCCGACATTTCGCCAATGCCACAGAAACGGTTCGTAATCTTCCGTTGATCATTTACACAAATTTTATTTTGCCATTTAGGTTTTTACATAGGCAAAATCGATAATGCAATTTCTGTCAGTAACTTTGGGTTCTAGATGTAATTAATTTTATTTGCACTCAATTTTGGTTTGAATTGTAATCTCCTATTGGAGCAGTATATTTCGAATGCAAATGAACTAGTTTGAGTAATTTCCAAATCATTTTTGTATCACTAGGTCTGTCTGTATACTTGGAGTCGGGACATGGGAATAATCTTTCTTCTCAACTGAAGCAATATATCCAATGCCTTCTCAAGGTAACCAAACTTGAGTACATGATATGAGCTGCTATCACATTTCACATTTCATGGTTGATATACACCTATTACAGGAGAATATGAAGGGACCATATGGATCAGAGTGGCCAGCTGAAGAGAAGGTCAAGCGCAGGGAAATGATTGCTCCAGAAGCACGCTACATATTTGCATATGAGATTCCAACTGCTGATGCCAGGCAAATGCCTGCTGTGCGTGACAAGGATAGGGATACAGCTAATAGGATGGATGACAAGGGTCCAATTATTGGATTTGTGCACTATCGCTTCCTCATAGAAGAAGAGATACCTGTTCTTTATGTGTACGAATTGCAGCTTGAGCAACGTGTTCAGGGAAAGGGCCTAGGGGAATACTTGATGCAACTAATTGAGCTTATTGGTCACAAGGTGATTAATCCCCTTTTCATATAAAGCTTATTATGGAGTATGTTTCTTTGGTTTTTAATAGTTGATTGCTACACCGATCAATTTCCTTGATGATGTTAATCTTCATTTGAATCGGGCTGCATCTTGCACTATACAATCCTGCTAACTAAATTTTTTCATAATTTACAGAGTAAAATGGGTGCTGTGGTTTTGACAGTTCAAAAGGCAAACATTTTAGCTATGAAGTTTTATACAAGTAAACTTAGGTAAAATTTTATTATACTATAAGAACTGCTGGTATACTCAAGAAAAAAGATAAAGGATCTGGTTATGCACCACTTTTGCATGATTTTATTTATTTTTATTTATTTTATTTTTTATACATTACTCTTGCATCATAACTACTGAGAAAACATTTCAGCGATAAATTTCATGCAACCTAATTTATTAAAAGATTAAATACAAAAGTTTCCAAATTCATCAGAGTTGATTAAATCTTCTCCATTCATGAAAATAAAAAAATGTCTTTAATTTTTTGAATGAGTTTTGAATCGAGTAACGTATTTGTTGAAGGAGGCTATACAATGATATAATGGAAGTATCTTATTAATCATTTAGCTAAAGCAAAACAATGTATTACACACTTTATGTTTCATTTTCAACTTTGCAATATCAGGAGAAACCTTCAGGGTCTTCTGAATTTCATTGAAGTTTCTTTTGAAGCACTTCCAATCTTAACTGGCACCATTTTAGTCATATTGCTTGTTGAATTTGTTGGAGTAAAGAGCATATTAGGAAGAAACAAGCACAGTTGATAGGATTACAATGAATGAGACAAACAAGGATTCAGAAGAGTACCCTCCAGCAGGGATAATTCCTTGCCCAGCTACAATAGCTACTATTTACTGAGAATTATAAATTATTCAATGCCCTCAACACTAGGGGAGGCTCCTTATTTATAATCTAATATCGTGTAGAAATTAAGTAAACAGCATCAATTAAGTAATCTGTCTTCTCCTGATTTCTGTTTCCATCCCATGAGTTATGCTTCATTTGTGTCCTGCAATTCTGATGCTTGATTGATTGGCTGATTTCCCTTTCCATTTGTGTCCTGATTTCCTTTCTTTCTTTGTGAGTAAACAATCCAGTGTTTTGGTGCCTTTTCAGTATTTTCTCAAGCTCAAATTGCTCTGTTACACATAAAAATATTATTACTAGAATGTTTAACTTTTGATTTCGGGATATTAGAGAATGCTTTACTTTATCTTCACTTTCTTAATTTTTTATTTCCCTCGAGTTATTGGTACTGTCCCTTCAATTATTGATTGAATCTAAATTTTTGCAGGTACAAAGTGTCTGCTATTTCGCCATCCAGAGTGTATCCAGGGGTATGATGTTTTTAGTGTTTAGCTTTTCATCTGTTCAGACCCCATATGCCGAATCTTTTACCATATTGACTATTTATGTTGCAGTTAGGACTGCAGACAAATTATGAGATTCTCTGCAAAACATTTGGTCACGAAGCTAAAGCAATGCTGGAGGTATGCATGTTTTCTGTGTATCTTTCTATACATAACAGAAAATGGAAATAGTGATGTGGAGTTCAATTGGATGCTATTTACGAACACCTTAGTTCTTAGAAATTAGAATTAATATATTCTACATGTTTCCTCACATGCTAAACTGAGGAAATGTGGCTGTCATGAGAAAAGTGTAATATATTGGTATAATTTCCATTTTATATTCAGTTATTAACTTTTAGCCTTCTATTTTTCTGTTATTCAACTTTTCTCTTGACAGATGCATGAAGATACTATATATACAGTAAAAAACAAAAAACTTTAAATTCTATCTGACAAAATTCAGTAACTGAATAACTTGTGAAAACAAACTGTAGGATTGATAAATCGTAAGTACCCAGTTTCTATCTCACCTAGTAATTGATAGAAGCATCAAGGAGTATCTTGACTAAAACTAATCTCCAATCTCTATCTCTTTGTTGCAATCCTAATACTGAACAAATAGAAATCAACCATGTTAAGTTTGAATGATAGTGTCCACTAGTAATAAACTAAATATGATAACCCTAAACTATTGAAAAAAAAAAGAAGAAACATATACACAGTCAACAATTTCCACTTATACCATAATTCCTAACCCAAATTGACATTTTTCAATTCCAGGATTGTACCTACAATTACAATCAGTCAGACTCTCAGCAATAACTTTTCTTTTCTCAAATCATAACACTGAATGAAATTCAACCCCATGGTGCACACACATGCATGTAATCATGTATATAAATATACACATTTTCTTTCCCAAACACCAATTTCAGAATCATAATGTGTGTTCATAGAGGTGTATCTTTGATGTATAAAAAGCAGCAATCCACAGGGCTCCCTTCATTGCATGATTGTCATATTAATCTGTTTCTTTTATGGAAAATGTCAAGATAAGATTACAGATGCAAAAAAAGTTTGGTTGCTTATATTGTTTTTCTTGTACAATTGAAATCTCTCTTGGTGAAGGGAAGCGGTACAAATGAGGAAAACTGATTATTGGACAAGCTTGTGTAGCCTTGCAAGTTGTGCTCATTCTAGAGGCTGCAACAGACCCCTCAGCTAGTAAAAGGTGAAATGTAATGCTTAAATATAGTGCTTGCACTATTGTAGTTTTCTGCTGTTGATCCTAGGTTATTATGATCCTCTGGCAGTTTGCAACTGCAATTTTGCCTGGCATTACTATTTACTATAATACATTAGCTGAACCAGAAAGTTCATTGTTTGGAATTCTTTATTTTATTTTTCAAGGGCAAGTCTGCAAAGGCCTGTTTTGCCATTAACCTGTGTCTCTGTTTCTGTTGAAGTTGGTGTTATGCATTAGGACCAGTCACTTGGCACCTGTGGCATGTGTCACTGTGGGTTCGATGTATTTTTCTGCATTTACTTTTCAGTTGGACCTTAATAAAAGAGTAATTTATAAAACAAAAAAATTGTTAGCCGTAAAAGGGAAAGATTTTCTTTTTCGGACTACAAAAATCTATTACAAGTCTTCCATATTGAAGCTAGGTAGTACTCATGCTTAAACTTGGGGCATGAGCGCTTAGTTAATTGGAGAAATGAGTCATTTTTCTAGAAAAATATAAAATTGGAGAAATGGAAAATAGAAAAATGAAAAACTTGTTTACTAAAACCATTTTTCCAAATTGAAAAATGGAGAATTGTTCTCTATTTTTCTCAGAATTTGGAGAATCCATTTAACTAATTCTCCAAATTTGGAAAAATGGAGAAAGTAGACTGATAAGAGACAAGATGAATTTGAATCAAGAAAATTAGGAGATTATGATATTATAAAGTAAAACACAAAGGAAAGAAAACAAGGCATTCTATGAATATCCCTCCAACAAGAATAAATTCTTGCTCACAGCTACTTAGAGCTAATTGTTCCAATTCCATTGGATGCCCTCTCTTCTAAGAGATGGCCCCTATTTATAATCTATTACCATATGTAAAATAAGGTAGGAGCATCAATTACTTATTACATAATTAGTCAATGCCTAATTACACACTCCATAAAATAAGTAAGGATTTACATAATTAATCAATCCTTGATTATATGATTCCTTGAATTTTGCCACTAGAATAATTATTTGATTATTTTCCTTTTCTGCCTGATTTGTATCATTACCACCCACTAATGAAACAACCTTGTCCTCAAGGCTAGAGTGCAAAACATGGTGTTGTGTAACATGCCCGAGTTGTGACCTATGAAAAACATGGTGTACTCTAGATGTGGGTGGCAACGCGCGTTTGTAGGCGATTGCACTTAATTTTTTCACAATTCTAAAAGCCCCATAGTACCATGGAGCTAGCATTGGGTTGATGTGACGCTGGATCGTAGAGTAGCAATGAGGTTGGAGCTTAAATAAGACATTATCACGCTTGGCAAACTCTAAGTCGCACCTTTTGGCTTGGGCCACCTTGGCCTTACGGTGTTGATTTCAATCGAGATCGAATTGGAGTAGTTTGGAAAAAAATGTTTGTGAGAGCCTTGGCAGTGAGTAGATGTTGTAGACCCGTGCTTGTAATTCACTAGCAAATATATCCATATTGCCGGCTTGATGAAGTGCCACTATGTTATGTGCTCCCGTCATGGGCAAGAAAACATAGGGAAAAAGGAAGAAAGAATAATAGTTGGAAAAGGAAAAGAAGAGAAAAAGACACTGGGTTTGCTTGAGACCCAAAACTCCCTTAGACCCTTTTTGGGATTAAATTTCTGCTTGTTATTATTTTGAATAATACTCCCTTTTTATAGGGTAAAATACAACTCATAGAATGACTAAATAAGCTAAGTAATCTGTTGAAATCTTCTAAATAATTAAACTACCTAAATTAATTCGAAGACTAAGAATAATAAGGTAAATAACTATTTAGTAATTTCTAAATAACTATTTATTAGTTTCTAAATAACTATTTAGTAATTTATTAATATCTAAAATAAGACTTCCTCAGAGCATGTATCACACTGGTTGTTCAACTGGAGGGGCAAAGAGATCACTACTAACTTTGTCCATGAGTTCTGCTTTAAATGTCAACATTGGGGTTTGCTATTGCAACACATGGTGTGTCGCTCCCTCACAAACAAAGGTTGTTGCGACCTTCAATTCTTCGCATGTGTGTTGGATAGCAAAGTAATGCTCTTTCCGAGCAAGACCGCCTATCAGATTAATCCCATTCAAGTTAGATGTTGGATTTTTCTATTGGGGATTCAATCTTTGGAGCTAGCTTTGGTGACAAGATTGGATATGTCATGCCTTTGCTATGTAGCCACAAGATAACCACCTTGGTTAGTTTAGTGATGGATTCCTCCAACTTGTTGAGCCCTTGATCCATTTTAGTGTGTGGTATTTCCCGACACTTCTCTAATGCTTGAAATCTTGATAAGAGTAAAGAGACATGATGAATTTAGATCAAGAAATTTACGAGATTATGATATTATTATAAAGTAAAACACAAAGGAAAGAAAACAAGGGAGTTTTAAGAATATCCCAACAAGAATAGATTCTTGACCACGGCTACTTAGAGCTAATTGTTCCAATTCCACTAATGCCCTCTCTTCTAAGAGATGGTCCCTATTTATAATCTATTACCATATGTAAAATAAGGTAGGAGACTAGGAGCATCAATTATTGATTACAGAATTAGTCAATCACTCGATCCCTAATTACACGCTCCATAAAATAAGCAAGGATTTACATAATCAATCAATCCCTGATTATATGTTTCCTTCAATTCTGCCACTAGAATGATTATTTGATTATTTTCCTTTCCTGCCCGATTTGTATCATATATCAACACTTCAATCCCTTGAAACAACATTTCTAACCCTTTTTTTTCTAGAGAAATGGAAAACGGGAGAAATGGAACATTGAAGAAATGGAAATCTGAAAAATGGGAAACCAAGTAAATGACAATACAGTAACAAAAAGTGATTTACACTTTTTTTTTTTCCTTTTTTTTTTTTTTTTTTTTTGGGGGCGGGGGGGGGGGGGGGGGGGGGGGGGGGTGGTTTGGGAGATTATTCTCATTTGAAGTGCTTGTTAGTCTTTGGCAAGAAGCTTCTTGACTTCTCCCCTTATAAAGGATCTTGCAAGCTTGACTTCAGCAGTGAAAATCCCTCGAACAGGTCTGTGGTCAGACAATCTAGATTCACATCTATCATAATGTTTTTGCTTCAGTCCATTGCCAAACCAAATTATCCGATCACACCTACAAAAACTTTCTTTCTCTATTAGACACTTAATTCATTTATTTGCATATTTTTCAAAAGCTTTTAGTATTCATACCAAGCTGGAGTTCGGCACTTTTTACTGTTTCTCTTCTGATCACAATCATAGTAATCTTCTGAGTTTGTATTATACTTGTAGGTTGGTGCAAACTTGATTTCTTCCTCATGCCACCCTTCGAAGACGTGGCCTTCAGTTAACTCGCTCTTCAGCTTTATTTCAAGGTTTTAAATTTCAACTTCAGAGTTATGCATATCGGCTTAAAAGGATATATGTTTAGGATCCTTAAGTTCATTTTTGAAATTGTAGCAACCCTTTGATATTTACCTGGTCATTTTGTAGCAAGATGCTCCACTGTCCATCATTGACCAAGGATCTTGTTGTAGCCTCTGGCAGGTATATCCTGTAATTCAAGTCCCCAAGCCAAATCACCCTGCTGTGTATGAGAACCAGATATTTGTAGTTAGATATTTCTATGGGGCACGTACAACTGTTAGCCTTTGATTTCTTTTCAAGGAAATGCACTCTTTTAAATAAAATTCTAAAAGTTACACCACCTCTTTGTTTAAGCTATAGTAGAATTAAAAAAAAAATAATAATAATAAAAAGAAGCGTGAGATAATAAATACAATACATAATCTCAGTTTAAAGGAAATAATAAAAAAGCTGTCTCATTTCTAGCCTACTATCTGAAAAAGAAAAATGTTTAAGGAGAACAAGTTGTACGGATGGAGTAAGTTTAAATATCACTGATGTTTTGGATTTTAAAAATTGTGCCACGAGTTGGAGGTTACATACTCATGGTCTACAATTTTTCTTGGCAAAGCCTGTGAAGGTCCAGAAGGAAACCGGGTGCGTGATAGTATTTGGGTTGCATCTGTGTTTCTCATCTCCTTTGTTTCCTCCTGATGCCAAATGACTACAGACAAAGCAGAAGGTTGTTTCATGCAACCAAAATCTAACTGATACTGAACCCTGTAATCATTAGTGGAAATCAGTTAAAACAATAGTAATTAAAAGAAAAATAAGCAAATCTAGAATTTTTAAACTTTATAATCTATACTTTATTGGCTGTCCTTATTTATGCTTACTTTATGCCATATTGACTAGGAATTAATAAACTTCTAGAAATGTTAGATAAAGTTCAAGTATTTATCTTATATGTTTGCCTCACTTTTTTTAATTTCATATTTTCAATATACAGTATAAATATTTCATTGAATTGACTTGGACGTAGGTGGAGACTATGCCTGACTAGCGATTACTGTTTATTGAGAGTATGCCTGAAAATTTATCTGTGTAGTTTTATTTGTTACTCTCTAACTGTTGGTACCTTGTTTCCGATGCGTCCAAATATACCACAGCCTACACATGAGACATCTATATGGTTGATATAGTGGTGGATTTGAGTTCTTGCCCAGATAGTAACAAAAAGGCCCACCATCTGTTTGCTTGCTATGCATTCAAAAGCTGCTGCTTCTGAGTTAAAGTAGGCATCTCTGTGGAGTGGGCAAACCTTTTGACACTCTCCTGCTTCTGCCTTCTGTATTGTGATGGTACTGCTAGCTCTGTTGTTGAGTGCCGATCTTACCAGAGAATTCCATTTATATGATACACTTGAATTCTCTGAAACTATTACGTTTCCAGCATTCAGGGGCACGATTTCTTGAAACCTGATAGTAATGTGTTGTTAGATTTAGCATTTGTTATATATGAGACTCATTGATCTAGGTTGTTTGGTTGAGTGGAATGGTTTTGCATTGACTTTTGAGTCTATAATATTTATTGTGTTTAAATGTTTGTAGAAGTTGAAGAATACCCGAGAACATAGATATCAGCTGTGTTCTTCTGAATGTTGAGCAGATCTCCCATGTCAAAGTCATCTGGCGGTTCAATGCCCCCCACATTCCATGAGCTCACAAACAACCTTTAAAAACAAAACAAAAGAAAGATTCATCATCAAGAACAGATGTGGAGTCGATGAATGCAAGGAAGCAGAACCGCTTACTCAAAACTCTGGGTTTCAGATGAGGTTTTTGATGAATCCTCGGATGCAATAACATCCGGCCTCTTGAGGATATTTTTAGCTGGTAAAGTACCCCACATGACCTTGAAACTAATTACTATAAGATAGTCAAAAAGAAGAAAGGGAGGGAGGGAGGAAAGAGTTTACTTCATCCTGTGGTTGGTAGGGGAAGTTAAATAGTTGAGGAAAAGGAAGCTGAGCAAGAACAGAACAAGTTGGGAGGGAGGGAAGCCGCAGATGTCAACTATGAATCTATCATAAACTGAAACATTAAAGGGTTAGTCTTTTTGCTGTCTTTTTCATGATTCTTTATAAGGTAATATCTGTTCTATATTTTCTCAAACTTTTCAGCTCAATGAATCAATGTTTTCACCAGGGTTTGATCCTATGACCACAAATTTGAAATGGTAACAATGTGTCATCACACTAAATTGTAGTTGGCCTCTCCATCCCATTTTATTTATGTGTTTGGTTTGGTTTTGGTTAACGAGTTGAGGCTTGATTGAAGCTATTTATAATTTATTTTTTCATAATATGTAATCTAGTGTTAGTGCATACAATTTATATATTTAGAAACTATATAAAAAATATTATTAAATACAAAAAAAAAAAAATCAAATTTAAAAATCATTAGAAAATGTTAAAGAAAATAACCAAAGAAAGAAGAGTATGATTGATTAATAAATACTCCGTAGTAAATATGATATGGAAAATGAGAAAGAAAGTATTATTTATACATATTTAAATTATTACAAAAAAAGATTTGTAACTATGTGCTTATACTTGTACATTTCTGTCGCGTTTTGTATTCATTTTCAGTGTTTTTCGTTTCCGTGCTACTTAGGATATGAGTAAAACTTTAATTAAACATTTGCTTAGTGTCACGTCCATTAATGATACAGTTGGCTTTGAGTGTCTTAACATATAGAAACTATTTTTAAAGACTTCCAGAGTTATTTGCTGTCAATATAGGATTGGATTAAGGTGTAATACACAGAATGTCGGATTTAAGTAAGAATTATAGGTTTTTTTTTTTTTTTTTTTTTTTTTTTTTATATCTTTTTATTTATTGGTGTGGGGTGGCCGAAAAGTAAGTGCATGGGAATACTTTGTATTCCAACAGTGGCATGACGATAAGAAAACTACAATAAGTATATATTGAACAGAGACGAATCAGCGTTGGAGTTGATTATTGAAAGGCCACAATAATTAGGGAAGTGTGTGTGACGCAAGTTGGATTGCGATTTGTGTTTTTTTAATCTTATCATAATCTTAATTAAATTTGGGTTAAGGTGGAGAGGAATAGCACTTTCTGGAATTCGGAATCAAACATATCTCTTCTATGCTTGCTATACTGGCTGACCGGGGGGGGGGGGGGGTGTGGGGGAATTATGGTCCACACATTGCTATATAGACCGTAACAAAAAGTACATTTTTAATATATTAAAAGTACATTAGTAGTGCCTTTGGTGTACAACATACGTTCTTAGGGCTTGGCAAGGACATAGAGAATTTTCCTGAGAGGGTATTCCTCTCCGTTCTCCATGTACTAGCCATCTTTGCGAGTTGGTCTGCAACTGTGTTCTACTCCCTATAAACATGGCAAATGTTGACCTCCCAAGTCAAATCCCTCTTCATAACCTCTCTATACTCTTGCAATTACATTTTTCGTTCTTAAAATAGATTGGAATTATCAACTTAAATTTTAAGTTACTAGGATAAGTCAATTCCACATTTATTATACACAAAAAAAAAAAAAAAAATAGTGATTTGAGCAATTGAGGACCTTAGATGACAAATTATGATAAATGGTCATATACTTAGTATGTTCTAAATTTTTGTATTATTTTTATTATTTTTTGTTTTTGGATGAAATGACAAATAGGTAATTGAACTTATAACTTTTTTGTAATGGGTCAATAAACTTAAAATGCTTGTAATTGAACTATTAAATTAATAAAATATGTGTAATTGAGATATTTTTTGATTTGTTTTAATACTTTTGAGTTGAAAATATTTTAATCTTTTCTCCCAACTAGCACGAGCAAAGAGAAACCTTAGTACATATCATGTAAGCAATGCGGTTACTTAGAGAATTTGAAAAAATATCTCAATTGCACATGTTTTGTTTGTTTATTTGATGGGTTTTTTTTTTTTTTTTTTACTACTACTGACTCTATTACAAGGTAGTATCTGTTTTATAATTTCTCTAACTATTACAGCACAAAGAGTCAATACCCCATCGCCAGGGTTCGATCCTGTTACCTCCCCTCAAGGAGAGCCACAACTTAATTACAAATGTTTTAAGTTTAGTGATCAAATTACACAAAACAATCTAAATGTAGTGACCTATTTGACATTTTTTCAAAAGTTTTTATATCAATGATAAGAATATGTACAAAATTTTAAATAGAAATAACAATTGTTGCAATGTTGAGGGATCAAAATAGTCACATATGTGCATAATTGCTTTTGAAATTGACTTGCACTAATTAAGAGACTAACTTTACTTTTTTTTTTTTTTTTTTTAAATAGATGCAATTGTAGAAAAGATATTACCTTGTAATAAAGTCAACAGTATTAAAAAAACAATAGGTGCAATTAGCTTTTTAGGTGTTGTGTGGTACATTGAGATATGCAATAAATGTGGCTGAAATGGATTTAAACATTAATAATTAATTTGATTTAAAGATAATGGCCTTGTTTGGTAAAATAGTTAACCTATTAGTTAATTTTAACTTATTTGACCATAGCAATTTGACTTGGTTAAACAATTAATATGAGTGTTTGATTGATTAACTTTATGTAATAATTTATTGCTCCAAAATGCTTAAATTAAACAATCAACATATTTGGTGCATATCAATCGGGATTTGATTTGGTATATAAGATATTTTGGTTTGATTTTTTTTTTTTTCAGAAGAAAATAAAACAAAACAAAATTAAATATTTGTGTTTTCTTTGAAAGCCATACCGAGACTAAACCAAAAATTTTGATTTTCCGATTTTGAGTTGAATTGATATAATAAGAAGAAATTTATAAATTGGTATAAGAAGAAAGAAATGGCCTTCAGTTGCTATAGATATTTCATTTTAAGGTTTTTGGTTTAGCAAGTGTTTGAGAGGAATGGAACTTTGATTTATAGCCAATTGTTTGGTTTAAGGGTTTATTTGATTTAGATATTTCATTTTTTTTTTTTTGTCTCAAATTAGTTTAGAGGTCAGAGTAAAACTAAACTAATTTTTCTTGTACCAATGTTGTAGAATAGAATATAGATATTCAACTCTTACTAGAATGAATTATACTACTACAAGTTTAACTATTGAATAATTTGAATTTCGCTTTCAATGAAACCACATAAATCATATTATTTCTAGCTATTTGGTGAGTTATATGCGTTGTTAGATAATTTGTATGCTCACTAATAACTTAAATTTTTAATTAAGGTGAGCAAATTTGCATGAAAATAATTAAGAAGTCTTGAGTTTGAACTCCTGGATATAAAAAAAAATATTCACATTTCGGGCAATAAAAAGAATGTATTGAGAATAAACGTATAAAGGAAAAAAAAGTGTTGATTTAGTTTCTTTATTCTAATTTATAACTAAATAGTGATTTTAATTCATGATTGTTTAGTGCGATATAAAAAGTTCCTAGATTTTTAATTAAGTATTCATTTTGGTCCTTTCACACTGAACAATTATAAACTAAAATTATTATTTAACCAGCTAAAACTATAGTACAAACGATTCAAAATCAATGTGGTTAAAAATTTTGGTGTTACACATGCTTACACTAAATAATTAAGGACTAAAATCATTATTAGTAATAACTTAATGACTAAAAAAATTCTTTATTTTATACACAAAATATTAAGGCCCTGTTTGGTAAAATGGCTGTTAGCTGATAGCTGTTAGCTGTTAGCTGTTAGTTGATTGTGTTAATTAGAGGGTATAAATAGTTGATAACATTAGCTGATTGTAGAAAAGTGTTTGGTAAATTAGTTGTTAGCTTATAGCTGTTTGGTATAATTTTTTTTTTCTCAAAAAGCTAATTAAAAAAGTTGTTTGAAGTAACTTTTTGAATTTTAGTCTTTTGGAGTTGCAAAAAGCTAATTAACCAAACATTTATATTGATATTTTAACTAAATCAAACAATTAATAGTGGTCAAATAAGCCAAAATTGATCTATAGACCAATTTTTTACCAAACAGGGCCTAAATCTATAATTTCAAGCAATTGAGGTGATACATAACCTTCAATTATATGATCGAACCAAAGTAGTAAAAATAAAATGTATTTTAATTTCTAGTGATTTTGTTCTTGGTGAGTGGTCCCCTTTTTGGCTTTTACAAGTACATAAGTGAACTTTTCAATGCTTTTTACTCTAGGTTGAGTGGTCCCTTTTGGTCCATCCTTTAGTTTTAAAAAACATGTATAAATTTTCAATGCTTTTGTTGGTTGAGTGGTCCCTTCCTTAATTACAATTTCATCAAAGAATATGATTGGATGGACGGAAAACAGATAGTATTTGTATTAGGACAATGATTTTGGTATGTAGTGTGATAGTTAATGCACTTTTAAACTATTGGTGTATGCCAATCAATTTCATCAACACAACTAATCCAATATTCTATTTCAATCCACATTTTTTAATTCCTAGATTTAGTAATACCAAATGTCATTGGTTAGAAAATTGTTTATTCATTTCCTCGATAACCAATCAGGTCAGCAACCTATATTTGGTGGAGGACTGAATTCTATTTTATTGTTGATGAAAATAAGAGAATTGGAATAAAAATGGTCCTATTTGGTAATATAGTTAGCTTACCAATTAATTTTGATTTATTTGACCACTATTAGTTATTTGATTTGGTTAAATAATTAATATGAGTGTTTGATTAATTAACTTTTTGTAACTTATTGCTTCAAAATGCTAAAATTAAAAATACTGCTCAAAGTAGTATTTCCGATCAATTTTTTAAGAAAGTCATTTTGCATATAATCATCTATAAGTTAATAATTTGCCAAGCACCTTGTGCTCAAATGACACCTCTGTGGCTCCCCTTGAGGGAAGGTCACATGATCGTACCCCAGAACAGATACTACCTTGTAATAAAGTCGAAAGTCGATGATGTTTAGCTATTAGTATTCAAAAAATCTATAAACTAATAGCTAATGTTATCAACTAGTCAAACACTATCCCAATAAGCTAACAACTATTTACTAAACATCCCCAATAAGTAATTTTTTAAAACTTGGATGCGAATAAATAAAATTACAAGTTTCAAAATATGTCACTATTTTAGTATGCCCCTGAATAATTTTTCTACTTCAATGAAAAAAATAAAGAAATAACCCAAACCAATGCATCTCAATTAAGACTCACATTTTTGTTTTTTAGTATTATTAACTTTATTACAAGGTAATATTTGTTTTATACTTTATCTGTAACACCCCCGATTTTCATGCCATTTTAAACTTAAATATGCAAGATAATCTAACCACAAACATAAGCAAACCACAGCGGAAGTCTATATATATAAAGCCAGAAAACGGAGAGTGTTATGCCACGTCCACACTAAAGTGAACGCACAGGCAAGGTCAAAACAACATCACAATCTAATATGTCTAGCATAAGGGGCACACAGGTCCAAAACTCAACTACAACTGTCTGGGAGACTAAACTAGTCATCTCTATCGCGCTCGCCGACTACTCGGGACCTGAAAAGCACATAAATAAATGGGACGATGCCCGGTCAGCGAATAATGCTGGTAACCCATCAATACGCGTCAATAGCATATATAGATAGATAGTTTATTACAAAATCATTTTGAAACGGAATACTATATATATATCAGTTCAAAGCCAAAGATAGAAGTCAACCGCAAAGACTCTATATCACTCACAACAAGGGCAAGGGGAAACACATCCCAAACACATCAAGACACGAACAACAACAGAACAACTCAACAGTGCACAAGATGTAATCTACTGATCACAAAGTAGAATACCACTCAACATACTCAACAGATAAGGATAAACATCCACACACTGGCACTTCATGCCACAATGACACTTCATGTCACAAGTTCCAACCTTATGTCCTATTCCAACCTTATGCCTACCCCCGGCCTTATTACGGTTCCAACCTTTACCTCCGAGTGCCACCCTATACTTCCAAGTCCAACATTTTGCCTCTGGGAACCGTCGTTCCCCCTCCAACAACCGCCAAACAAAACCGCCGAACGCACAGTACACGAGGGTACATTGCAAGATCACATCACAAAACCGCCAAACCGTGTGAGCTATACTCACGATAACAAACCACCAAACTCATGCATGGCCACCACGAGGACCACATCTGTACCTTGGTGATTAATGTCCCATACCATTAATCGTGCGATCCAGGTACAACCAACACACACATTCATCATAGGAATCAATCAATGGATCACAACAAAGATATGAAACCATACTTAATCAAGGAAGGACTACAATCCGACACCAACGATGATCAACACAAGTTATCATACACAATTGGGAAGAACAAACCACACACGCTAGCATTTCAACATCAAACTAGCATGCTTATCAAACGGGTAAACAAAACATAGTTCCGAAGAACACACAAGACTCATCATGGTTCAACGAATCACAATGTTGAACACTTAGCACGATTCAAGACACCAAATCCTACATGGATTCCTACCATATAGTTCTAGACATACGAAACATCAAGAAGACACTCAAATAGCCCAACAAAGAACATCGGGAAGTCAAAACATCAATTACCGAGTCAAAAGAATGACGGGGAACCAATCGCCAAACATTCACAACCTTGTACCCGCGGGTGGGGCCACAGGTGGACCCCCACCCGTGGTTCCGCCCACGGGAACCACTTCCCACGCCAAGCGTACCCCGCGGGTGGACCCCTACCCGCCGTTTCGCCCGCGGGTACATACCCTGTACCAAAATAATCCCTTCGGGGATTTTCAACTCCAAACTCAAATTCAAGTTCAAAACACCCAAAATCTCAAAATACACTAATATGACTTGAATCAAATGAGTAGCCAAGCAATGGCATACAAGAACCCTAATAACAAGCTCCAGATATGCATCATCACAAAACAATGCATCAAAACCCACATTTCATAGCAAAATCACAAGTAGAATCCAATAAATTATCATATAGGTAATGAAAATAGATTTTGTAAAGCATGAGTTACCTCTTGTAGTCTAAACCTTCACTTAAAACACCTTTTCAAGCTCCTAACAAGGCTCTCCTTCAACCCCAACTTCAAGAACACACTAAAAGACCATAAAGATTTCATCTTTAGAAAAAGATACCTTAGAAAGCACTAAAAACACAAAAGGACCATAGATCTTACCCTCCTAGATGCTCAAGAGTAGGAAAGGTGGAATCTTGGAGACAAACTTGGAAGATCTTGGAATGCTCAAACTTAGCTTGAAGGAGAAGCTAAAATTCTAGAGAGAAGAAGGAGCTTTTGTTTTGAGTGTGTAAGGGAAAGAATGAAAGGCAACCCTAGGTTAGCTTGGAATACAATCATGAGGTGAAATGTCTTCATTACCCTTACTAAGATGAAAAAGTGTAAGGGAATAAGGGAACTATTCACAAAACTTAGAGTACAACTCATTGACTTGGGTTGACTAGTCCCCGACTATTGAATTTTCAGGAATTTAAAGAATAAATTACCAATTAGATTAGGATTAATTACTTAATTAATTAATCCCTAAATAGAATTCGGATTTACGGGGTGTCACATTATCTATCTGTTGCAGTTCGAAAAGTTAATATCCCACCATCGGTTTAATTCTGTGACTTTTCTTCAAGAAAAGTCATAAATGTGTAATCTGAACACAAGGTGTTTGGCAAGACTTTACATTTTTGTTGTTGCCGCTACAATTTAAAAATTGTTATTTTGTGGGTTTATTATATACTATTAACGGTGCATTCAAAAAAATATACTATTAACGGTTTAAACTTGATATTTGAAACATTTATTGAGAAAATTGGTTTTGAACCAATCAGTGATTGGTAGACATTTGTTAGAATTATTGTCGGTTGAAGCCGGCATGCCAATACGGATATCTCATTCAATATTGTATGACCTAGTTAATTAGTAGTAATTAACCATGAATAGCATTTTTTTTTTTTTTTTTAAGTTTTAGACTTTGATTTTTTCAAACAATATAGGGTTATGATCACAGCAACCACCATTTAACAAAATCAATTAAATCTACTTATACTAACCTAATTATCGTTTTCAAAAAAAAAAAAAAAACCTAATTATCTATTTCCGCTGCTTATCAACACACAACACCCTCACCGCTTTCATTTATCTATTAATAGCTGTAACTTGTAAATACACACCGTGTACGGTTAAATAATGTCTAATTATCAACAAAAAGTTAATAAAATTAAATGATAAAAGTAATTAAATAAATAATAAACACATAAATAAATCTTATAAATATTAGAAGATAGAATTTTAATTTTTTATGATAACAAATATTATTATCTAACATAATTTTTTTTTTTTTTTTAAAGACATTGAACACAACAGATATTGTGTTCCCAAAAAAAAAAAGATTTAACTTTTGACAAATGTATTTAGTTTTTCTTATAATTTTTTCTATTATAATTATATTATATTTTAATATTGATACGATAATAAATGAAATAGAAATATTTTATTAACAATAAGCCAATGATGTATATATTCCACACCAAATAAGAAGCAAATAAAAAATTAACTCTTTTACAAAAAAAAAAGTGAAATTTTATTTTATCTTTTAAATGTTTAAATAAATATAAGAAATTTTCAAATAAGAAAATTATATAAAAATACGTACACATAATTGATTAATTAAAAATTATTATTAAATCAAATTAAATTTATAGAAACTACATATAAGCACATATATAAGAATAGGATTGACAAAAAAGAATTAAGTTTAAATTTGGTAAAAAATTATAAATGCACAACACAAATAACATTAAATAAAAACATTTAGAATCTGTTTAGAGACCTAAAAAATATTTTTCGAAAAACAATTTATAGAAAGTGTCTTATTTTAATTTTCTAATATTCTATTAAATGTAGAACATTATATTTTTCGATTAAGAAATTATATTTTATTATATTTTTGTTTTGTTTGGTGCGGATGGTGGTAGTAATAAATAATTTTTTTTTTTTTTTTTAAATTTTATTTTCCTTAAATACATATCTAAACATAAAAAATTCAATAAATAACTTTTTAAACTCATTTTTTGAGTTTCCAAACGAATTCACTAATTTGCTAGTTAAGAACTATTATAAAAAATGTTAATATAACTTATACTACAAATACAAATATGATTTTACTTAAGGACTAACATCATTAGCTTTTAAATTAGATATTGAAAAAGTGAATTAATATTTCAACAAAATTACGTTTTAATATAGTGTAGTACGGAGTAGTATATAATTTATAGATTTTGGAGAGTCAAAACTCAAAAGATCCATTATTGGCAGAAATGAGGCAAAAGCTTGAATGATTTAAGTTGAGAAATCGGGTTCAGCCCGTTTGGAACTTAGATACCTAATCATGTTAGGGCACATTCCCAATCCCGGACCAAAAAACGTCATGGACATTATATTTTACAATGGAATGGATACACAATAACCATAATTTAGTCCATTCATTCATTCTACAGCTGAAGTTGATGGTGAAATGTGAGTGGCATCATCTCATTCATTCATTCATTCATTCATCAGGACCTCCGATCCAACCATTGAATAATATCATTGGCTACTTGTTCCTTTTCTGGTTCGAATAGCAGATCATGCAGAAGACCTTGAAAGAGCTTTATAGTCTTGTCAGTGGAGGAGGCATCCTCGTACAGTTTCTTAGATGCTTCAGGGTCGGTAACCCGATCGGCTGTACCATGAAGGACTAGAAATGGCACTTTTAAGCTGCTCAGGTTGTTTTGCAAGAAGGTGGTTATACGAAGAATCTCGTACCCAGTTCTTACCCTGATGGATCCAGTGAACACCAGTGGGTCAGAGTATTTGGCCACTAAAGCCTCTGGGTCCCTGGATACTGAAATGCCCCTTTTGTTAGCTGTATTCCACTGATATCTTGGCATCAACAACGACAAAACTGGAGCCAGGGCCTAAATTTAAATTAACATCACACCACAATATCTTCTTACATCTTTCACAACATACATACCTATATGCACCCCAAAGCCTAATGGCTTCACATACCTACAATTGTTATACCATGGACCAGGGTTCATATTGTATTATTATGAACCCTGGTCTAAAACTCATGTATATGCAGTTAACACACTCTGTACATGCAGTTAACAATTTATGCACTTATAAGTAGCTAATTGAAACAAGGCACATAACATGATAATTACAAACACATAAATGATTAACTGCAGGTACATAAGAATATGTTAACTGCAAACACATAAAATATTGGTTATATGTCTATATGTCTGCAGCTAGCTAATATATTCTGTACTTGCAGCAGTTAATAGTTTATGTGTCTACAGTTATGAATTGTGTTTGTAATTACCATGTGATGTGTTTTCAATTTGTTTACAAGTACAAAAATGGTTAACTGCAACTACAAAATGTGTCAAATGTAAGTACAAAATATGAACGTTATTTTTGGAACAGAAATGGGATAAGTCGGGTGCTCACCGTAACAACTGGATGCGCTGGCTGAACTCCCACAGCAGGTGATGTCAGTACAATGCCAGATATAAGGGTACTTACCTTCGGGTCCAGTGCAGTCTGAAGGTTTTCATGGGATCAGAGTCAGATAGAGTGACACATAGAACCAGCTTAGCAGAACTACTTAAAATATTATTCAAGGAAGTATTACCTTGAGGACAATTGCTCCACCTGTTGAATGTCCAAATAAAAAGCATGGAAGTCCAGGATTATTATCTCCTAGAACCTTTGATACAAATAATTTCTGCACAAAAATGAGCTGAGGAGTCAGTGATCAAGTAGGACATTCATGTAAAAGACATTATTATGTCACTCGATTAAGGGAACATACTGTGTCATTAACTGCATCGTCAAGAGAATGAACAAATGCATGTAAACCATCACTTCCACCGTGCCCTGTACAAAACAAAACCCGCAAATTTTTGTTATACTGTGCCTTGAAAATTTACAGTAGGGTTAAGACAGGTTTCATCAGTTCAGTTCAAAAGGCACATTTTTTACTCAGTAGCATGAAACTACATCATAAAACAACACAAATTCAAAATATTTATTCAGAAAGAAGAGCACCCTATCTTTTGCACTATAAAGTTTTAAGTCTTTTAACCATGGAAACTCTGTGTGTGTGAGAGAGAGAGAGAGAGAATGCTAGACATTAAGGTAAAAATGCACTGATGCTGACTTCTAGAGTTATCCTCTAGCAGATACCAAGCTGAAGTGAGTTCAATATCCTTCAATTCATTCCTATATCCTTGTAACTGCCATGTACAAAGTTAAGTAAGCTTATATATTGACTTAGGCAGTAAGGTTTGAGAAGTAACGAACAAAGATATGAATGTGGCTGACTTTAATTTGAAATTTTTATCAAAAGGTAGTGGAGAATCTAATCGCATCAAATAAAAAGTTTGTTAGCTTTTTCTTTCAAGTGAGGCATTCAGGGCTCAGCTTTTATCACCTCAAATTCTTAAGACCACACTCCCTCCCTTTACCATTCTTTTATGTACAATGCCTTATGCAAATATTCAAGTCAACATGCTTACTTATGAGGAGGAGCTTCACATGTTACTTTTTTTTTTTCGCACCAATTGCATCCGGATTGGAAAAAATTCAATCCCTGCCTGCAACATGCAAATATAGATGCATCGTTGATGACTGAGACAACTCTAGACTGTAAAATAGTAATGAAACATCAAGGGTTTTCCTAAATGTTGTACCCCAATCATTTCATCAAACATGTGCATTGTAAAGAAGCAAACCCTTTTCTCATGCCCGTATTCTTTCCCCTTCTCTCAAGAAAACGGAAATGTAAGGTTTAGAATAAAATCCAGTTTCTTGTGATAGTTCCTTATGTAGATATATACAATTTTCAAAGAGTTATGGCCCCAAGAGTTCAAAATTGTAACTAGAATTATATAGAAGTTATATAACAAAAGCGTAAAGGTATAACGATTCTAAAATAACCTAAGTGCATGAATGTTTTTGGTAATATTACTCCTGGTATTTTATAACCACATTGGGCTATGACTAATTCAGACCCCATTTTGGGGAGCTCTCCTAAAGGCAGTTAACAACTGAGGTAACAGCAATTCCATTATTTGCAAACTAAATCCATGGATTTCGAAACAAAGTAATACGACCTTTCAATTAACACCGGAAGTGAGCAAAAGAAGCATTTAGCAACAAACATGTCATAGGAATAAGTATTATAAGTATAACTGTTCACTGGAAATCACTTATTGTTACAAAATGAAGTTCGAACTTTGATTACTCAAAACATGCAATTAAAAAATAGAGAGTAAGGGAAATAAATAATATAAAAAGTGTGCTTTAGACGATTCATCAATTGTTTGTACTTACCAATCCAATCCATTCCATAAACTTTGAAGCCATTTGCATTCAGCTTCTTGGCAAAATCATTATACCTTCCACTGTTAAATAAGTATTATAAGCATAACTGTTTACTGGAAATCACTTATTGTCTCAAAACAATTAAATATGCTAACCTGTGCTCATTCAGACCATGTAAAATGATGACCAATCCCCTACACAAGATAATTTGAAATCTATCAGAAGCAACTAAATGTGTAGATACAATTTACTCTAAAAAGATCATTTTGTAGACAGTAAACAAAAAATAATAATAGTATTATAATAATAAATACCAGTAATGTCATATTAGAGCTTCAAATAAAGAAGGAGAATGTCATTTGTACCATTTTATGTGGCTTAGCTATTCATATATTAGTTGACCACAATATGAATTATTTCGATGAAGCCACATTAAATACAGATCGAATTTGGCATAAAAAATTTGATACAAATAGAATAAATACTAGCTGACAAATTTATTTAATATTTTTAGCATTTATTACTAATATAAGTGGATGAATATCAGAAAAGTGTTGTCCATGCCATAAAAGCACAAAACACTGGCAGACAAAACAAGAACAGCAGTCATCCTCAAAGGCTTTGAAGGGAATTTGGGCATTGTGATTCTTGAATTGCGGTTCATCCAAGGGGACCACCGATTGAATATCCAGCTGACATAGTATTCCATACTCATAGTAATCATCAACAACCATAACTTACATACATCTTTTATCTTAAAATTCTCAACATCTAGAAATGCTGGAAGCCAGGATTGTTGTTATCAACTTCATAGACATAAAAAATTATAGATTAATAGAAATGTACTTCAAAAATGTTCCGATGATTAGCATTTAATTACTACAAGCAATAAATTAATGACACCAAAACATATAGAGAACACAGTGCAGTAATTAATGAATGAATGAATTAATTAATTACCTGACTTTAACGGAAAGTGGAGTCCATGATTGAGTGAACAAGGTGTCACCTCTTGGCGTAACAAAGAGGGAAAACTCCCTAACCGTCTCATCATCATCATCATCCTGCATCACCCGCCTCATCGCCATAGCTCTCCTCGCCGCAACTTCCTGCTCCACCGCGCTCTTCCGAGAAAGCATCGTCGTCGGAAATCTCACAATAGCGCCCTTCCGCTCCGTGGCCTTCTCCTCCTTTCCGACGCCCTTCTCCTGGGACGCCGAGGCCGCCACAGACGCCATTCGCCTCCTGCCGCGGAAAGGAATGAGAAGCAGCAGCACGAAAGCATTGAGCAGCAGCCACAAACTCCGCAACGCCTGCATAGAAAACAGAGCGCTGATTCTTCCGCTCGCCCCGGACGTCAGAATTATAGTCGCCCTGGCGTCGATCCCCTTGGACACTTCCACCGCCATTGATTTGGGAAAGGCACACGCTCTCAATCCAGAAATTGAGTATCTCGCCGGATCACCCCCTCTGCTGCTCAACCTGGAAACTGATCCCAATTTCCCTCTGAAACGGAGCGAATGAATTCTAATTACATACAATTCGTGAATTGCCAAGCAAACCATAAAAGCAGGGGAAAAAGGCCTGCAAAAGAATTTATACTTCGCAACGTAATGATCTTCAACAAAAGTTTTGAGGAATGGATTGGAATTGGGATTGGGATTGAAATGAATGGTAAAATTTGTGTGTTTTTTTTTTTTTTTTTCTTAAGGGGAAATGTTGCTGAAATGGGTTGCCAGAAAGAGAGGTATATATATAACAAGAAAATGGAATTCCTTTAAATTTCTGAGGAGGAAAGCAAGTTTCACGAAATGAATCTTAATCCGTATCAGGGGAACACGGTAGCAAAATCGCCACGTATCTTTGAGAGGCACGTGACAAAAATGCGGCATTTCGAGACCTTTCCTTGGGAAATTGAAAGGGACAATTGCGGAAACGTGACAACTCACAAAGTGACAAGTGTCCTCCTTTACGTTAAGGGTGTTACGCGTGTCGCAATAATTTTATTTGTGGCTCCACTATTCCATATCTATGAATAAATAAAGGGCTCACTTGATTTTTGAACACGCCATTTTTAGGCAAAAAATTTTGTACCTGGTGCATGAGTGGCTGTGCCTTCGCACTTGAAATGCCTATTATATACCTAGAGCATCCGTACACAAATATGCAGCTTAACAGATGGGAGAAGGAGAGAATGGAGAAAATAATCCTCCTGCAAAGGAGGGGAGAATGGCAGAAAAAAAAAAAAAAAAAAAAACACCGCAGTTCCGCGCGTATCGCGGAACTGAGGAGAAAGGCCGGGCGCGTGCAGTGCACGCGACTGAATTCATTAATTTTTTTTTTTTTTGTTTTAAAAATCAATTTTGGTTTTTTTTTCCTCCCCTTCTCACATTCTCTCTCCTAATCACTCTTACATTATCTCCCAAATCTTCCCAACTAATGTGGATGCTCTTACATTATTGTCCTTTTAGCTCAGGCCGGTCAAAGTACAACTGAAACTCTTTATTATGGGTGACTTGCCTTACATTTGTTATTGTTGCCTGTGGAAAAAACAAACATGTCGTGTCATGTATTACTATTTTTTTGACTTTGGGTTTCTATTTCCCTCTTTTTGCGCATACGCACGTCGCAACGTGTACTTTGATTAGATGTCTATCTTGGGAGCTGTGGAGTCAAGATTAAAGAATACAGACGGTATCTTTATTTATTTTTTATTGTTTTTCCTTTTCTCATCAGTGAGCTCTTCAATCGTATTTTATTTTATTTACTAGTCTTAAGCTCGTTGCCTTTTATTTTGTTCTCTCACGCCTCCCTCTCTACAAACTTCTCCAGTCTCAGATTTTTTTTTTGGTTCGCCTGGTGTTCATAGAATTGTCGACCAATCCAAGATTTCTGTTCCAAACGGTTAGTTCTCTCTATTTATGGTTTTGCTGTTTACCCCACTTTTCAGTGCCATTGTTGCCTGTTGTTATTCTCTCTGTACGTTGCAAGTAATTAAACTCTGTCCTTCGCAAAAAAAAAAAAAAAAAAAAAAAAACTACTTTTTGTTTGCTGGGCGTGTATTGTTTGCGTTATATACTCTAAGCGCATTTGCTCTTTCCCATTTGTTTTCTTTCCCGGTCGTATTCGATATTCGACGAAGTTGCGTTTCTCTATGTCGCATGCTGCTTTTTAAAACGATTAAACGATGTTTGTGGACATTTGCAGTGGTTATGAGGCCGATTCCGTAATCGTACTACTGCTTTGGCCGTATTAGTTGTCGGATTCCTAACACTAGTTGATTACAATGCATGTCACCGTTTGTGGACTGTCTGTACTTGGCCTTTTTTCTGAAGATTTCGCCGTACATACCTCTGATGATAATACGTCGCGTCGATTCTTGTTTGGGCCTTCCGAATACATATTTCCGGTTATCTAACCTTTGATCCAGAAATCCTCTTATGCAGGTGCACTCTTTCCGTCGTTGCGGCCAAAATGGAGATTTGTGTTGCTTCTGGTGCAATTGTTGTTCTCGAATTTTTCCTTTTCTTCTGAACGTTACTTCTTGACGGTAGCTCTTAATTGCCGGGTTTTGATGCAGTCTGATTTGCCATGCCGACATACGTATTACCGTGTATTTGTGGATGCACAAATAAAAATTAAAATAAAATAACTGTTTGGCCTTCCGATTGGCCACTTTCGGAAGGTTTTCGCTTTCTTTCTGATCCATTTTTTTTCGGCACGAGTTACACATTCGCCCTTCTGTTCTTTTCATTTGTGGTTTGCGTTGTACACACCTAAGTTCAAACAAATCATCCACATATTTTAAATGCTGGAGGAATGGATCCAAATGGAAAATTTTAAGCTTCCAAACCAAATCGTAACAAAACAGAATCCAAAATATATAAACCGGACGAATCTACGAACCGGTGGCCAATTCAATTAGAGAGACCTCAGCTCTCATAATAATAATAGTAACCAAAAAGGAGAGTTCAAAACTCCAAGTATCACCATCATCCGAGACAAAATATATATGTAACTATAATTTTCAAAATTCGCATCTTACCTCAAAAGTCTTTGCACCCAAGTAATACTTTCAACCTTACACTTGCATCTGCAACCATTATAACAATTAGCATGCCATGAACCAAATATAAATAATCCACCAACGCTAATTATCCAACCAATACTAATGCTCCAAATACAAAGTACTAATACTTCATACCTAATCACTGTATTTAAAATACGAATGGTACTACTTCACATACTATATACTAATTATTTCACCAATATACCCCAATTCTCATAATAATTCAAATAATCCACCATATCACATAAATTCATAATAATCAATTTAAACATTATAAATCATACTATAACCAATAATCACATATTATTTCATAATATTATCCAATAATAAACTTCGCACATAAACACTTATTAAAAAGATTTTAATTTGGGGTAAACAAATTTTAGGTAGACATAAATCTTACCTAAAACCAAAGATCCATAATATGCTAACAGCTGGAATTGAACCCGAGACTTCGTTAAGCATCAACACGCGACCAGACCAGCAAACTACTACAACTTTTGTATTTTCATCTATTCAAATATATCATCATTACTCTTAATCATCCAGTAATTATATTATTATTATTATTAATTAATTACCATGCATCATCACCTTCACGCCATTTTTTCCTTCTGGCTGAAACCAGTATCCCCTTCGCCGTCCTTGCTTTATTTCTACTACCATAGCCACGGGAACTCACAATTACCCTTTAACTAGCATTTATATATATATATATATATATATATATATATATATATATATATATATATATATATATATATATATATTATTTAAACTCTTAGTTGAGTCATATTGAAATACCTATAATTCCTAGTTAAAGGGTAATTGTGATCAATTGAGATAACCAAACAAACATCAACTGTTGAGCATGTATCAGGCAGAGTGCGAAGCTTCTATAATGCTCCACAAAGCAAGTCGGCAAAACTCAGTCTACAAAGGAGCTAATGATGGGCACCAAATATTAGTCTGGGTAAGAGATCAAATACATTTGACAAAAATATTTGTAAGTGTTGCTTTGTGGGGTAATAAACTCCATATATTTTCATCAAAAGTTTCTCTGTGGTATTGAGAATAATGATGAAAGAGAATGTGTCATGTTAAACATGAAAATCTCAAGGGATTATTTACGAGTAAACGAAGTACCCGTCAAAGTGCATGTAAGTTTGGTCAAGAGAATCAACTTACTTGAGGGCTAATTATGAGGATTAGTCGTTGACTCATTGGAAGGACTTAAAGTCTAAGTGGTAATGAATTCGTGGTGGATCCCACTTTTGTGGTCAAACGAAACCATGAAAAGAGTTACAAAATAGTACACTAGTTGGTCATTTCGATAGTGTGTACCTGTGAGGTTGAGCTACAGCTCTTAATGAATTCATAACTCTTTGAGAAAGGGTGGTTTTGTTGAGACAAACTTAATGAATTCACAGCATGTGAGGTTGAGCTACAGCTCTTAATGAATTCATAACTCTTTGAGAAAGGGTGGTTTTGTTGAAACAAACCTAATGAATTCACCGCATAATGACATGAGTACAAAGTGCTCGTGGTGCCCATAGATACTCTGTAGCCAGTCATGGTGGTCTGCGTTGAGGTAGACTTAACAGAGTTGAAGGTCTATCCTAGAATAGACCTAACAGGGGATATCTCAGGGTCAAGAGTATGACCTCACATATTTTAAAGCGACCAAAGCAAATTAAGTGCGTTAAGTTCAAACTTTGTCTATTCGATGAGTTCAAGATCAAATTCACTCCCGTTTAGAGAAGTACTTAATGTCACTATATGACAGTTCAAGTTTTATACACTGGCATGAAAATTTGTTTTGATTGTTGTCAGGCAATGACAGCATCAGCCTAAGTCCCTTTAATGGTGGGGGATTGTTGGGAGCATTTAAAAGGAAAGGCTTCCTTTTGCCTATCCATGTTGTCCCACATTGGAAGTTTAGCCTCTTATACTCAATTGGGATGGTCTATGTTGAGATAGACCTAAAGAGATCCCTAACTTGAGTGGAAAAGGGCTACCATGGTCTATGTTGAGATAGACCTAAAGAGATCCCTAACTTGAGTGGAAAAGGGCTAACCGCCTCTTATGAAAGACAATGGGGTTATCCCAAGAAGCCGAGTGGCTAAGAAACATGGTGATAACCGTGCAGTTGTGGGCGTTGCAAATAACATTGCCTATGTAGAAAGAAACGACTTACTACTGATTTATGTCTTTACTACTCTATAAGCCTTTAATGGTAGTCTATACTAAGATAGACTTGATAGAGTTAAAAGTCTATGCTGAGATAGACTTAATAAGACATAAAAATCTGTAATGCGGTAAGACTTGTCAGAATTAAAAATCTATGTTGTGATAGACTTTGACAGGGTAGAAGTCTATTTTTGAGACAGACGTAACATTCTTGAATACTAAGGGTATTCATAAGAAGTCAAAGAGTTTGACTTTCGTAGAACCTGCTTTTTGAGTTGGTGTGTACATTCGAGTTCAAAATTTATCTAACCGGTGAGTTTAAGATTCACATCACTCCCGGGAAGAAAATTACTCAGTGTTGCTACGTGTCAGTTCAAGTTCTCAAACACTGACATTAAGATCAACTCATTTGTATTGCTCAAACTTTATCCTTTTCCTTTCTTCTTTAAATTTGTGGGGGATTGTTGGAAAATTCAAAGAGGATGTGCGCATTTTGTGCACTCCTTTTTTTGTGGTCAGCATGTTTTGTGCAAAGTTGTGGACATCATTGTTTGTCTCTCTTTGCATGGCTAATATGGGAGAGCTGCTTACTATATAAAGAAGCTCTTACCATATTTGGAAAACACATCTGACTTCAAAGTTATTTGTTCTATTCTTCTTCTTTCTCCCGTAGTATGAGCAATAGTGAGGTTTGCCTACGTGATTGCTAGTGCAAGCTATCCGTAGTTGGTCTGTGTAGCCTGTCGAAAGCGTGTCTGGGTTCTAACTGCACCGTTACTGGGCAAATAACGCTTTTAAGGTAGTGTTATTATAACACGGCACAGATTTTCTTTCTACCATACATCCGTAGTGTCCGTGCTTCTTAAAAGGCTTCCAGATCGTGCGTTGACGTTGCTATTTTCCCCAACAACAAGCTCTTCTTAAGGAGAAGAAACTTTTCATCAGTCATACTCATAGTCAAGCCACCACCGTCACGTCGCTGGAAGTCACCGCAGTTGCTCGCCACGGCTGGAGTAGTACGCAGAGGGGAGAAAAGAAATCATCACAAGGTCGCCGACGCGGAACTCCAACTCGCCTGAGAGGACCCTTTTGCAAGAAGTTCATTACTCTCCGTCACCGATGGGAAGAAGAGATGTATCTATGATGTATGGATGTTTTTGGTTGGAGGAGAAGAAGAATGAAGAAGAAGTTTTATATGTATATACAGACATACAGTAGTGTTTCGGCCATATGAACGGAAAAAAAAAACAAGGAATGAAGGAAACTTATTATGCTTGGTCAATATATGGAGGAAAGGAAAGGAACAAGAGAATGGAAAATAAAAATAAGGAAAGACAAGATTTGTGGTGATTTGGATGGATATTAGGAAAATTAGTTTGACTATTAATTATCCACATGCATAAATGAATTTGGACACAATCAAGACCACATTCATTATTTTATACACAAAACATAATCAATACATACCTATACTTACTATATAAGATAGATATATATTACAATATATATATATACACATACCACAAATATACATATCACATATATAATAATTATAAGCAAGTACACACCATATAATAAATGCATTATAATTTAATTATTTACACAACTAATATATCAAATATATCAAATACTATAAAACCACCTTATAAATAATCATAAAAACAATAATATTTACAACAAAATATCCCAAATAACTGGGGTATCACAACGGCGAAGGAGTATCGACAATGGTTTTCTTAGCGGAACGTTCAAATCGATCGACGTTCGAGATTGAGAGGTGGTTCCCCCACTTTCTCGCTAAACGTGTCTTCAGACGAAGATAGTGACTATCAGAATGACAGAGATATCTTTATTACTTATTCATCTACTCAAGGAGTTCGAGCAGGTTCACTTGAGCGAATTGCTTTTCTGCCTCCACAGCAAGATGCACCCGGTGAAGTGGGACGCCATGAAAGGTTAACCCGGCTGTGGGCGGCTCAAGGCAGATACTATATTGGTGATACACCGACTTTCTCGCTCGATGTTTCATCAAACGAAGATAATGAATATGCGTATGACAAAGATGACTTCATTACTTATTCATCTAATGAAGGAGTTTTGCCAGGTCCACCTGGAAAAAAAGAACAACGCTGCCTCCATAGCAGTATGCACACTCTTTGCCAACGTCGGCCATGGAACACATCTTATCGCCCCCTGGTTCACTTTTATGGGTGAATCCCTCTGCCCAAAATAGATAATTTACGGTGCCCCCTTTGTATACGATTTTGTATCGTGAGGAAACAAAGTCATGCTTTAAGTAATAAGTGAGAGATTGTTTTGTTCAATTGTTATTATTCATTTATTTCGTTTGATTACAGTAGCAGTTGTTAACTCTTTATCTTTTTCTTTGCATTTTGGACAGTCTCGTGAGTGAACTTCAGCTGTTGGTGAATTATGCAACGCCAGGCCAAAAATCGTGCCCATTTTACTGCTGAGCAAATGCGTGAACGGAAAAGAAATAGGGACGCAGTGGCGTGGCAAAAATTGACAGGTGATCATACAACTGTCGCTCAACCAGCACATGCCAATCCTGTAACAACAGCTGGGTAGACATCAACTTCTTCACCTCGTGCTTGCGACACAGGTACAAATTGTCATTCTTTCTTTTGCTCATAATGGAATTGTACCTGCTTTTTTACCTGCTGCTGACTGTAATTCATTTCGTCTATCTGTTTCGGTGTTTTATGTTCATGCCATGGTTTATTGCTGGTTGCTGCAATGTGTCATTTCACTCATTTGCAAAACATGCTTGCACAAATCTACAACTTTGTATTCTTTGCTTATAAATGCACGTTTTTCATGCACATTAAACCCTACACATTTTATCCTTGAACTTTTAATCAAATTGGACAAATGTATTGCATCCTTTATAATTTCTACTGTGTTGTCCGGTTATCAGTCACCGACCGACAAGACGTTAGACATGGAGCGTTTGTTTTTCCCAATATCCCTGATTGTATTTACTGTGGAGCAATACAGTTTCCCCATGAACCACCCACATTTTGTTGTTGCAAAGGCGAGGTCTTACTTGTGTCAAATGAAATGCCAGATCTATTGAAAAAGCTCTATACTTGAATTAACAAGCAGTCAAAAAATTTCACTGCATGTGTTTTAAGACTTACAACAATACCTTCGCGTTTACTTCTCTTGGTATTCATCACTACGACCAAAATCTTTGCAAACGTAATAAGGGTATATATACTTTCAAAGTTCAGGGTCAAATGCACCATTTCATCAATGACTTATTGCCTGATGGTTGTCCTTCGTGTAATCTTCAGTTGTATTTTTATGACACTGATCATGAAATACAAAATAGAATTGAAGCCGTTAGACGATTGGATGAGAATGTTATCAAAAATCTGGTTCAGCTGATGTCTTGCAATCCATATGCTAAGTGTTTTAGGAGTCTTAAGGATGTTGTTCACTCTGATGAGTTCAGTATTACATTGAATTCTTCACCTTCACTTGATCAACGACTTTATAACACCCCAACTGCTTCTCAAGTTGCTGCTGTCTGGATCGAAGACTCTAACGGTATTGGGGATAGTAGGAATATTCGGGTATACGCACATTGTGGTCGTTCGTTGAACATTCAATACTATTACGACTATGTTTTTAAGAGATCAAATAATTTTGGCACCCTAACATTCATCAATAACAACCGTAAATAATAGCATTATCCTTCAGTCGGATTAACACTAACAAGCCTACCAACAACCTTAAGTTGCTTCCGCGGTTTCTAAGACTTGCTTGATTTACACCAAACAAAAAGGCAATTCCACATAAAGCAAGTTTAACATCTTTGCATCCTCATTTGTTAGGTTCACGAAAAAGAATTCAGTTAACATCGTGCGCGAAGACTCTTCCCTGTTGACTATATGCGTTATCCTTTCATGTCCATAAAAATTTATATACTGTGAATTTTCTAATGCACTTGCAGTTGTATAACAGGAGGTTTCATCTCTGCAATTGCAAAACCAAAGATGTGCCATGCAACCTCAGGGGGCGATATCCACCTTGCATTTTGGTATTCTTTAATTTCATCAATAAGGTGAGGTTCCATGTCATCAGCCAAAACCATGCTAATCCTATCATGTCATTTATAAATATATTTGTAAATATACTTGACAGACTTAATACTTGCAACACCTCAACACTCATGTTGCAGTCCAACTTAACTAATAAATGAGGATTATAAGGCACTATCCATCTATTGTCAAGTTTGTAGCCTTTAACTTGAACAAAAAATGGGGTATTACGTCTCTTATAAATAGGAAAAGAGTCGTCATCAAACACAGTCCGACAGCTAAACGAGCGAGGGTATTTACTTTTGCAAGAAGGTGAAGATTGGTACTTCTTTTGCACCATACAAGGACAATTTGGATTAAGAGAACCACGGGGACTATGGACCATATGTTTTTTTAAGATGTTCGTACGATCTGGGGTGAACATTTTGGTCTGGTATTTTTGCTGAAACAAAACCATCAACAAAAGAAGGACATGTAACACTATATTTGTTTTTCAAATTAATAAGAAAATGGGCATGTGGCAAGCCCCTTTTTTTGGAACTCAATGAAATAAGTGTATGCAGCAACATCACCAAAAAAGTTGTTCTTTGTAATGTCATCCTTCAATTCGTGCAACTTAGCATGGAATACCTGCGCAAGCAAATCAGGTTTGTTCTGCGGCTCATCATTGTAATGCAAATGGTGTTTTATTTCAGGCCAGTTAGGATTGCATGTCATAGTCAAGAACAAATCAGGTTTGTCAAAGTTTTGGACAAGGGACATTGCATCCATATATCGGCCACGCATATCCCTAGGACCCCAGATGAACGATGATGGTAAGATAACTCTATGACCAACATCATTACCAAAGACTGCACCTGTCCCAACGCTATCTACCAGACCTTGAAAGTTTTCTGACCTGCATGCTTGTTGTTTTTTCCTAAAATAATCCAGCCTTTGTGTTTCAACTTTAATATAGATATCAAAAATAAATTGTTGAAACAACCTTCCCGTATGTAATAATAGAGATGTGTCACCTGGCCGGACCTAGAATTTATATGCATAATATTCTCTGCAAGACACCGAAGACCGTTTCCGCCCTTCCCGAAACACTACTTCCTTTGCTCTAATAAGATTATCAACAATTGATCGTTCATTAGCAATAATAGACAACGAAGCAACATGCCCAAGAGGTTGCAAATGACCTGCCCGGCAAACTCTTTGAATACCCTCGTGCCATCTAACGTCACCAAAGGGGAACAACAAAGGGTAATGTAATGGATCATAATGTAAATCGTCGTATGGCTCCATCTTTCTGTGAAGCTGAAGAGAAACTTGGCCTTCTAGCAGGAGATTTTGTTGTTGAAAAATCATTGAATGAGGCTGTCTTGTTTCAAATGCCGTCAAGTCCGCGCAAGTTTTTTGCTATGCTTATGATCTTTTGCGATGTTTCAAATCCACTGGCAGTGTGGATAAAGTACAAGAAACACATTTGTGAAGATTTTTTTATGAAGCAGTTTGCATATGAATGATGAGGCTGAACCATTAGTACTTAAGATCATTGAGACAACTTTGCATGGCATAGGGAAGACAATCAAAGACTACAACTTGGTTGAAGTATTGAAGCGGCATGATTTCCCAGGAGTACTTACAAATGAAATTGCACATGAGCAAAACCTGCCTGTCGCTGCAGTAGACCTTTTGGCTATCCAGAAACTTAATGCTTGCAAGAGGGCCACATTTTAGACAATCATGGATGCAGTGTTGGCAAACAAAGGCCGTATTTTTTTTTTTTTATTTTTTTTGTCGATGGCCAGGCGGCACGGGAAAAATGTTTTTGTACCATTGCTTGCTGGCAACCGTGCGTTCTAGGGGTGGATTGCTCTTGCAACAGCAACTTCCGATATAGCTGCATCCATCTTACCCGGAGGCTGTACTCCACACTCTCGATTCAAACTCCCCCTTGACAGCACAGATAAATATATATGTAATATAGGTAAACAAACTTCAGATGCTAGATTACTTCGGTCTAGCAAATTGATTCTTTGGGATGAAGCATCAATGTCACATTGGAACATTGTTGAAAACCTTGATACAACACTCAAAGATATTATGGAATGCTGTGATTTATTTGGAGGGAAACATTGTGTTTGGTGGAGATTTTAGGCAAACAACTGCCAATTGAGAGGCATGGAAAAAGAGAAGATTTCATTGCAGAATCTTTGGTGATGTCAACTTCTATATGGCCACACATTTGTCAAATAACTTTAGTTCAAAACATGCGCGCACAAACAGGTCTTGCATTTGCAGAGTACTTTATGAGGATTGGTAATGGCACAGAACCTCTTGTTCAGCAAAACAAAATTAGGATGCCTTCTCAATTTCTGATACAAAATTGCACTGCACAGTCTCTGTTGGACGCTCTGTTTGAGGCAGTTTATCCAAATTTGCAGTGTTTCTTACAAGACCCATACACATTAATGTAGAGGGCAATTTTGACCGACGAAGAATGAATTTGTTGATGAGATTAATATGTTGTTGCTAGAAAAGTTCCCTGGTGAGACAAAATGTTACATTAGTTATGATGAACCGCTCGACACAAAGTATTTGCATTGCCAAGATTATTTACATACATTGTATCATCCTAGCTTGCCTCCTCATAGTTTAACTTTGAAGAAAAATTGTCCAGTAATCTTATTAAGGAATCTGAATCCATGTGAAGGCTTATGCAACGGTACACGACTTATATGTGATGTATTTGGAGATCATACCATGAGTTGCATTATTGCAGTGGGAGAATACAAAGGTAAGCATGTACTGATTCCCAGGATACCACTGCAACCACCAAAGGATGAAAGATGTCCGATTCTATTCAGAAGGAGCCAATTTCCCATAAAACTTTGTTTTGCATTGACAAGCAATAAATCTCAAGGCCAAACTCTAGATTTTGTTGGCATTTATTTGAAAGAAGTAGTCTTTAGTCATGGACAATTATATGTAGCAATGTCTCATGCAAAAAATGGTGCTTCATTGAAAATCATTATATTCAACGATTCAATTGGACCACCATTGATAAATCTCATAGAAAATGTTGTTTACCACGAAATTATTAAGTACATATTATAATCTTCTATCTTCACTATGGTTTGGTTAGAAGTAAGTATATTTAACATTCTATTCTTCTGCCTTCTGTATTCTTATTTAATGTTTCTGTTTTGTTCTTATCTTATGTTATTGTTCTTGTTGGTCCCAAAGGGGATGCGGTAAAAGTCTAGGGGGGGGGGGGTGAATAGACTTTTAAACGTTTTCGCGAATACAACAATCGCTAAGGCAACAGAAATATCAAGACTCTTAACTAGATTGTTAGAGTCTTGTGCACAGCGGAATAATTAAGCAAGTGTGTGTGATGAATGTGTCAAGTATATCCACGTGATAAGCAGTAAGTAAATAAAGCAGTAAATGACACAAGGCAATTTATAGTGGTTCGGGGGTGATGTAATCCTCCTACTCCACTTGCTCTTATCGTCCAAGAGTAATTCACTATATCCACTACTTCTCGGTTACAAGATACAATGAATTCCGTGATCTAGTGCTTTGATCACCAAGCCCACACTAATCACGCCCAGTGCCTCCAACACTGCTGCTTCGGATTTCACAACTCCGTGCTACTTTCACAGGATTTCACAACTCCGTACTACTTTTCCCCCGTCTTCCACGATCCGGTCGACGTATCCCGTGATCTGGTGCTTTGATCACTAAGCCCGCACCAATCACGCCCAGTGCCTCCAACACTGCTGTTTCAGATCTCACAGCTCCGTGTGACAATCTAGGATTTCACAACTCCGTGCTACTTTCCTCCCTTCCTACACTCCAGTAGGAATATCACTTGTTTGTAGAAAAACAAGTTTCACTAGCTTCCAACTTTGAGACTTCTTGAGTGGATCTTCAATATGCAGCAAGTCTCTCAATGATGAAGATTTTAAACACTCCTGAATATTTTTTCTTTGAGCTCTGAGTGTTTTTCTCACTTGAATATTTTCTATATAAGTATAGCACTTGTTCGTATGTACTGTTCGTTGCTTGTGTTGGAAGTGTGGTTGGAAGTGCTTTGATCTGCTTCAATCTTCATCCTTTTATAGCTGGTTTTGAGAAGTTGTCCGTTGGAAAAAGACAATCTCAAATTTGAATTTCAAACCTCAAATTTGAATTCTTGTAGCCTTTGTAGAAGATCTGTAGCTTTCTCAGAAGATCTTATTAAAAATAATATCTCTGACATTTGAGATATTTCAGCCATTGCTTAGCTCTTGGTCC